CTCCTCCTCCTCCTCTTCCTCTTCTTCCCTTTTAGGCCTCGTGCGAGCTGATGCATGCCACGGAAGCAGTGACGTCAGTTGTTTACTGTCTTGTAGGGTTGCTGTTACTCGTTGTAGTGCAGCAGCACATCCAGCAGGGCTTATGTAACTCCGCTGCCTGCTGCATGACACGCCGTTTACTGCAGAGTGTGTGTGGGTGGGTGGGTGGATGGATGGATGGAAGAAGGGGGCGGAGGTGGGGGTTTTGGTGGGGTCTTATGCAGCAGCCAGCACGGCATCACCCACTCCCACACAAGCGCAGGTGCATTGCACATTGCACGCAGACATGGAGTGTAAACAGACAGCTTTCCTCTCGGCTGCACCGCATTGTGTGTGAAGTGAAAACACAGCGAGTTCACTGCTGGAGCACATAGTAGCTCCGTCCCTCCCTCCACACACACATATCCCATAATCCCCCACTGCAGCAGCAGCAGCAGCAGCAGCAGACAGGTAAACAACTCGAGCTGGCGTGTGACTCAGGGCTCAGAGTCCTCCTGCTCTGCAGCACAGACACACGGCGCCCCCTGCTGGCAGCAGGAAGCAAAACACATGACCAAATATGGGTCTTTCTTTCTTTCTTTCTTTCTTTCTTTCTTTCTTTCTTCTGAAGGTCCGTTCAAAGAAACAAAAGAAGCTAATTCAAATTTTATCTTAAAAAAAAAAAAAGTCAAAGCCAGTGCGTTGAGCAAATACGGCGAAATAGGTTCATCTAAGTCTGTTTTTTTTTTTTTTGTGAAAAATTGTGAATGAACGTGGTCTTATCTATTTGTTTTTTAGGTTGTTTTTGAAAAACAAGAAATAATGAACTGTTAAAAGGCATGTTGGCCTGCAGCTCTTGTTTATTTTTATTGTGTTTAATTGGTTTATATTTTATGAAAGAGGGCAGACTTTATAAGATTCTTCTTCTTTCTGCTCCTTTTCATTCACATATTTGAGATTTATTTTTCTTGTTTGTACTAAAAGTTGTAAATATTAAATGAATGAAATAAAGTATGAAATAAAACAAAATAAAAAAATAATAGTAACTTTTTTTTTCTTTCTATTGAATTGCCCCATCTTCCCACAATATCCTTACCCTTCCTCCTATGTTAGCGTTTACTATGCACCCACTATGTTAAGGGTCGGTTTCGACCCGTGTCTTAAATCAGCTGTAATTTACACTAAAAACAATTCTCTATCATCCAATTTGGTTCCCATCTCTAGGTTACCTTGTTAGGCTTCATTATCCATGAAAGTATTGATTATAGTATTTTTCATTGTGGGCCTGGACATGCTCGTTGTTGTGATTGGAAGAGGATCCGACTGTCAGTGTGGTGCCTGACATTGCACTTATGATTTCAGTTTTTTCTCTAATTATTAGACATGAATCTAACCGGGTCAACAGCGACCCTAACACAACAAGTGCCAAATTTTAATAAGAGTCATAAGAGTTTTAATGATTTAGTCAATTTACATTTTTTATTTGTATTTTGTTGATATAGTTTCCTGACAAAGTCAAAAAGTCTTGATGCAAAAAAGCAAAATATTCCTCAAAATATAACATCAAATGGGGCATTACATGCTAAATCAATATTCTGCTAATAAATGCCAAATAGACTGATAAGGACCTCAATTCTCTTTGTTTCTATGTATATCTTCTCTGTTTGCTGTTTTCTTGGCTGAATCCTGTAAAAAGCCTCATCTGTTCCCTGCAGAGATCTCTCTCCTCCCACAGAGGTCAAAAGTTAGGGCCATCGGCTGTGCAGATCGACATTCTCACCAAAAGACCCTGACACTTTGCAGATGAATTGCACAAAAACATTTATCTTGTCAAACCCATTTGACAGTCGAGTAAATCCTCACATTGATTAAAAATGAACCCCACTAATTACTGTGTACAGGTTGGTGCCAGCTTCAGATGCTTTTGATCATGTAGGAGATGTCACCAGTGTGAGAAATCACGTCGCTTCACAAGTAATGGCATGTACTTGGAAGAGCACCAGCCACCGCGAATGGCGTGAGTGTCAAAACAAGTTTGTAATGGAAACAAAGTACAAGGTTAAAAGTTGTGTGACGCTGCTCTACAAACACGAGCTGGCAATAAAATTGTTTTTTATGCTGCCTGGAATGACTGATTAAATTTGGAGTCAGTGCTCCGGAGAGACCTTTAGCTTTTGGTCAAATATGTCAGGAGAGTTAAACCAGATTGATTTGTTTTAAATGTTTTTGTCTTCTATCATTTGCTTCGTTTTTCATTTCTACTCAATACTGGTGTCTTTTTCATGGTACTGCAGTCCTATTCAACTTTCATTTCATTAAATCACTGTAGGTCAAAAGTGTAGCTCATACTACAGTGTGAGGAAAGCCATCACTGAACGCTTCAAATGGAAAACATCTATCTGGGATTGAACTCAGGACCACCTAGCTGTAAAAAGCATGGTCCAAACCACAGTGGTGGAATCTCCTTCCACAATAGCTTCACATGAGTTGATCACTTTTGGGATTTAAGTCAGGACTTATGTATTTTTGGATGATAGTGCTAATTGCGTGGTTATCAAAAAGCTTGTCCCTCCTCAGTGGAAGGATCCAAGACCTTCACACACTTTTACAAAAGGCCTCTGTCAGGTCTGAATCCAGTTCCTACTCCTGAATCTCGATCCTACTCCGTGTGGCCTATCTGTGTACTGTTACGCAGGACTTTCTTGTTAAGTTTGATCAAAATTTCAATATATTATAGTATTTTAAAAGTCCAGAATGCTCCAGCTCTGCAATGACAGGCCTCTGCTGGGGTTAAAACCTAGAAACAGCTTTTATCTGTAAGGTGGCAGGTTAAACAACAACAGCGTGGCCCCTCACTCTATCATTGTAATTAAACAGCTTGCTCTCTGTTGTGACAATTATGTTCTATGTTCCCGTGAAGGAAAGCGAGATACTCCATGTTGATTTAATAAAAGACAGGTTATTGGTCGATGTTTGGGAACCTTTCTTCTTCTACCATGAGACTCTAATCTTATATGAACACAAAGTTATCATGTTGTTGTCAATGAGTTTGTATTCCTGTTTGTTGTCTTTTTACAGTAAACCTCTGACTCAATGGCTTCAGGCTCATGCCGGTAAACAACCACAGTGACTGTGCCTCTTCAGCGCAGCAGTATTACACTGTCGCCCCCTGCCGGCGATTCTAACAACTATACTATAATATATAAAGAGGTTCTGCAAAACAACATTACCAACAAATATGTTAAAATCTGAGGTTATTTAAAAGATAATAAGTATTCAAATAAATAAAGAATACAGCACAACGAGTTTTAATTAGACTATATTAACCAACAAATAATCAGTTTTTAGGAGTGATTTTTTTAATACAAAATATGGCCAAAGGTGACTAAAACTGTGAAACCGGAGCTACTTCAATCACAAAAACGTGACGACTGCGAATTAACTTGAGGGGAAGTTGCGATATAGTCCTGAAACAAAGGTTCCGCTGTTGTTTCCAGGGGGAAGATTTCATCGGGGGACAGTACTGTGAGGAATGAGGAAGGGACCGACATGTAGCAGCTCTTTAAAGTCTCACAACGACTAATCGACTCTTCGACGGATAAAAGTTGTGAGGTAAATCGAATTATGTTTTATTTAACATTTAACATATCTTGAATCGGAATTGTTTATTCGACGGAAGTTTATGATCAAACTCGCAACTCTCTTTATATGTTGTTAGATTGAAAAATCTATTTAACTCTAGTTTACGCATATAATCTTGATAATACATCGGCTATTGTTTTATATCTGGATTATCCCTGGGAATTTATTTTTGGTTTTGTTGTATATAATGTATATAAGGCATATGTTTATGATCGGACATGTCTGGGCAACAGACCTCAGTTGACAACATGTGCTTTTATTTTGAAAGGGAACACCCCGACGTCGTTGTCAACATAATTTCATGGTGCTTGTGGTGTTATGGTTGTACGGTGGCCGAGAACAGCCATTGCTGCAAATAAAAAAGAATGCAATAAAAGAAGGCCATTGCTGCCAATTAAATAAAATGCAAAAAAAAAGCACAAAAAAAAGAAGCCACAACGGAAGTTAGTGATGCAAAAAAAGAAAGAAAGAAACTGATGCCCGCTGGAAATAAAAAAGAGACGGTGCAGTAGTGTTGTTGTCAAGACCACACCAACCGAGACCAAGATATTACCGAGACCAGAGAGGACCAAGACCGAGACAAGACCGACTGATAATGCCTTCAATTCCGAGACGACACAAAGTCCTTCAAAAAATGGTCTCGAGACCAAGACCGATCTCGAGTACTACAACACTATGGTGCAGATAAAAAAAAATGCCACAACGGAAGTTAACGATGCAAAAGTGGAGATGCAAAAAAAAAAAAAAAAAAAAAAAAGGTACTTACTGCGAAAATAAAAGGATGCAAATAAAAAAGCTACAACAGAAGTGAGCTGCTGGGGACCAACAATTATGTATTTTACAATCCAGGCACAGAAGTTGATGGCGAGAAGATGCGCAAAGAAGTAATATGATTGTTTAATTTCGGTTAGGCCATGTAGCGCCTGAGTCGATATGATGTTGAACTGAAGCTAACACTACACCGGCATCCTCCAGATCAACTTAATATTGACTCAGGCGCAACATGGCCTGACATTTTTTGTGTTGTTAACTTCTATTGTGGCTTTAAAAAAAAAAAAAAAAAAAACTGCACCGTTTCTTTTTGTATTTGCAGGGGGCTTCTGTTTCTCTTTTTTTTTTTGCATCGTTAACTTCCGTTGTGACTTCTTTTTTTGCATTCTTTTTTTATTTGCAGCAGTGGCGGTTCTCGGGCACCGTAATGGTTGACTTAAAAACACAGAAAAATCTGCTATTTTAAACTTTTGTATTTCTATTGTGATTGACAATGTGATTGCTTTTTTTTTAATCCATCATAATTACACTAATGCTTATCTTTGACTCACTTTCTTATAGACTTCACAATGGAAGGAGCTTCAACAACGAATGATGCAGCCCAGCCCTCCATTGCTGCCCAGGTTCCTTTCAACGACCTCTGCAACCTTTTAGAGAAAATCCAAAAGTGTAAACTCCGGCCAGAGAAAACCAAAATCCTTGGGGATTTCATTGACTCATGGAGGAAGTATCATGCTTCTCTCCACAAAGACAATCCCAAAACTACAGACTCTTTCTACCCAGCCATGCGCCTTATAGTCCCTCCATTTGAACGGGAGCGTATGGCGTATGGCATCAAAGAGAGCATGTTAGCCAAACTCTACATTGATGTTCTAGGCCTTCCAAAGAACGGCCCAGAGGCAAATAAACTTCTGAACTACCGTGCTCCCACTACCTCCCAAGGAGAAGCAGGAGACTTTGCCGGCATGGCGTACTTTGTGCTAAAAAAGCGGTGCACTAGCCAAGGAAACCTGAAAATCAAAGATGTCAATGACTTTCTGGACTCTGTGGCGATCAACAATGCAACCAAGAAGAAGGACCTGGTAAAAAAGAGTCTGCTGCATCTCATCACGCAAAGCTCGGCTCTGGAGCAAAAGTGGCTCATCAGGATGATTCTGAAGGACATGAAACTTGGGATAAGCAAAGAGACGGTTCTCCAAGTCTTCCACCCAGATGCCAGTGATCTCTACAACGTCACCACAGACTTGAACAAAGTGTGCCAACAGCTTCATAACCCCTCTGTTTCATTAAGCGAAGTCTCTATTGGACTGTTTTCTGCTTTTAAGCCCATGTTGGCAGCAGTGGCCAACATACGAAATGTTGAGAAACAAATGGGAAACAGCCCGTTTTACATAGAAACCAAGCTGGATGGGGAGCGCATCCAATTGCACAAAGACGGGGATGTGTACAAGTACTTCAGCCGAAATGCTTTTGAATACACCCAGCAGTTTGGAGGATCTCCATTAGAGGGCTCACTGACACCTTACATCCACAATGTCTTTAAAAGCAACATTGTGAACTGTATCCTCGATGGCGAGATGATGGCGTTCAACCCAACCACCGAGAGTTTCATGCAGAAAGGAAGCAAATTCGACATCAAGAGACTCATGGATGACTCTGAGTTACAGACGTGCTTCTGTGTTTTTGACGTTTTGTTGGTGAATAATCAGAAACTCAGCAAGGAAACTCTGAAGAAGCGCTACGAGGTCCTGCAGACAGTCTTCACCCCAGTTAAGGGGAGGATGCACCTGGTGCCGAAGACTGATGCCAGAACCATGCAAGAGGTGGTGAATGCACTCAATGATGCGATTGACAGCAGAGAGGAAGGGATCATGGTGAAAGACCCTTTGTCCATTTATAAACCGGACAAGCGAGGGGAAGGATGGCTGAAAATAAAGCCTGAATACGTAGATGGGTTGATGGATGAGCTTGATCTTCTAATTGTTGGTGGCTACTGGGGAAAGGGAAGACGTGGTGGCATGATGTCCCACTTCCTGTGTGCTGTTGCTGAAGCTCCAAAGCTGGGTGAAAAGCCATCAGTCTTCCACACTCTGTGCCGCATCGGATCTGGCTACACCATGAAGGAGTTGTACGACCTTGGTTTGAAGCTAGCCAAGAACTGGAAGGTCTATCGTAAGAATGACCCTCCAGCCTCCATCTTGTGTGGAACCGAGAAACCAGAAGTTTACATCGAACCTTGCAACTCTGTCATTATCCAGGTCAAGGCAGCAGAAATAGTAGGAAGTGACATGTATAAAACTAACTGCACCCTGCGTTTCCCGAGGATTGAGAAGATTCGCGACGACAAGGAGTGGCACCAGTGCATGACTCTGGCAGAGCTGGATCAGTTCCGGAGTAAGGCTTCTGGGAAACTGGCCTCGCGACACCTTCGCATCGATGACGACGAACCGCAGAAGAAGAAGCGCAAGATACCCGCCAAACCTAAGAAAGTGGTGGGGATTGTTGGCCACTTCAAACATCAGGATCTCTCTGGGGTAACCAAGGAGACAGATATGTTTGAGGATGTGGAGTTCTGTGTTCTGAATGGGACTGCAGATCACCCAAAAGATGAGCTCGAAAAGGGTGTTGCCAGGTAATGCCACTCTTTTACCTACATTCAGTCAGCACTATCTAATATACGATAAAACCATTCTCTGTCATAAATCCACTGGTGAGTATTCACCATCAGGAGCAGAAGCAGATTCATTTACTTTGACCATCTTTCTTTTCATGCTCACTCTGTCCCTCTGCTTCACTTACACACACCTGCTCCTCCTGCTCAGCCCAACCCTACTTTAGGTTTAAAGGTGCAAAAATCAGAAACTTCTTTAATGAAAATCTGACAACTGACTGCTTTTGTTTTCTCTTTAGGTGCGGTGGAATAGTGGTACAAAACCCAGGCCGGGACACCTACTGCGTGATCGCCGGGGTGGAGAACATGCGTGTGAAGAACCTGGTTTCATCTGACAAGCATGATGTATTGTGGGCTGCCTGGTTGCTGGAGTGCCTGGACCAGAAGGCAGTGGTCCCATGGCAACCACGCCACATGATCCACATGACGCCTTCCACCAGGGAGCACTTCGCCAAAGAGTACGACAGCTACGGCGACAGCTACTTTGTGGACACCGACGAGCAGCAGCTGCGGGAGGTGTTTGATCGAATAAGCAGTGCGGAATTGCCTGCTGAACTAAACATGGGTCAGGTAGAGCAGCGGTACGGCTGGGAGGACCTTCCAACCAGCTTGTTCAGACCCTTTGAGGTTTACATGGACTGCTATGCCAACATAAGCGACCCCAGCACAGCCTTACCTGCTTCTTGTTTGGACATCAGGGCGCTGGAGTTCCGCTACCATGGAGGAAGAGTGACCCAGACGTTAGAAGAAGGAGTGTCTCATGTCATTATCGCAGAAGAAACAAGAGTTTTGCATTTGAGGACTCTGAGGCGCAGCTTTAAGAAGAAGTTCAAGATCGTGAAAGACTCTTGGGTGACGGATTCCATCAAAGCAGGCTATCTGATGGATGATACTGACTACTTAGTTTGAAGATTCATCTGTTTGAAGTTGACACTGAAGACAAACTCTTTTTAATGATTAGTTTAGAATGATAAATGTAATAATCTGTTTTTAAAAGCTGGAAAATACAAGTCCAGAACCACGAAACTGCCTCAAATCCACAATCTGGTCAATATAGTGGTAAAAGGACACTGAACTCTACTGTACAGGGATGCTAATTATAATGGGTTTTTATGCAAACTTAATGAGTTTTATATTTGGTATTCATAACGAGCCATCAAGTCTGCTTGTTATTGGTTTTAAATTGAGGAAGCATAGATTGTTTTTTTTTAACCATTTTAATAGTTTGAATTGTGTTAAGGAGCATTTAAAACTTTTGCAAACAGCCTCTTTCTCTCAAACTTTCAGCCAAACGGGTAATAATGCATAAGCTGAACTAGTTTTAGCAGAAATTTTGCAAAATATGGGGAATTTCAGACTTTTTGTGCAGCACTTTTTGTGATAAATGTATAAACTGAAGTGTAACTGGTGAAGTTATGAAAGAAAAGAGATTATTGTGTTGATTCTTGCCCCCCCCCCCCCCACACACACACACACACACACTTTTGAAATCTGTGCCTTTGCCGTGCTTTGATGTCTGTTTTAATTACATTTTAAGAACAACTCTAATAAATATTTGGGATTAAAGGAACGGCTGTTGCGTCTGGAGTGCTGAATTTGTTTTTAAAACCCTGATTGAAGTGAAATCCTGGCCCGTGCCGTGGCTCTGTGGCTGGCAGAGAGACTAGCGAACACCGCAGGGGGGCATTAAAACAGGTTCAGCTCAAGGCCCTCTAACTAGGATGTCTCTGTGTTTTCCTGTCTTCAAAAATGTCACTAATGCCCCTTGGGACTCATTGATATGTTATAACCTTCATTAGCATCGCCTTCAGGGTGCAGGTAGCCGCCTGTGGCGTCCTGGGCATTGTTGTGTGTAAATGCCGCATGAATACATTTTGAAAGTAGAAGTGATGAGGAACATGTTTCTTATCATATACCTGGAATTACTCCTCTCTTTTACATGTTTGTGTTGCCTGTAGGGTTGGATTGTTGCATTTTCACAGCTCTGCTGAACAGATTGGTTGCCCTGGAAATTTGGGCACTGGCTTAGCTAATTTAATAGTTTAATCAAAAACTGGAGGAAGAGCTTGAATAGAGGAGAAGAAAGAGATCTGCTAAAATAAATATCATGCTTCAATAAGCTCTCTGTAAGCCCCCGCCCACTCCACTCTATTTCCAGGTGTTGTGAGGTGAGATTTTGACTGACAGGCTTTAATTACAAGTCCTCAACTGGTGTTTATTCCAGTGTGCACTGTGTTTTGCCCCTGCAGTAAAACCGCAGGTCCTTAAAAAGTACAAATACCAATCCTCTAAGAAGACTATGAGTCCTGAGGATGTGGTGATGAAAACAGTGTCCTTCCTAATAGCTGCTAAGGAGCTAGCATTGCAGGAATACCATCTCCTAATGGGGTAAACGCTCTAATTAGCTTGGCTGTAGCTGTTGGAGAAATGGTGAGCACACCGGACACAGGCGGAAACAAATGGTTTGGAAGCATCAGCTGGACAACCAGCGTCTGCATGCACTCAGCTGAAATAAATGAGCTCCTGTAGAGGCCACACAGAGGCTCATGGCTGCAGGGAAGGTTCCTCCGTAGCAATTAGCACAGCACACTCTGGATTGAGTAATTTAATGAGAAACAGCAGAGAATCAAGCTCCACTTGAGTGACTGTAATATTCAATGGTATTTAATAAATGTGACAAATCTCTATGACCCAGCCCTTCGGTTGAGAACCACTGGTAGTACCAAGTCATCCTCAGTTTTCTAACTGAGCTCAAAAGGAGGTTGGAGATGTTCATTCAGGAAAAACAACCTCTGCTGCAAAGCGGCTCACAAACTCATCACCTCAGTGGAGTGTGTTTGTACATTTTTATAGTGCAGTCATCATAATAAACACCGCATCTTTGGTTTTCGGGGTTTGTGGGCGGTAATGGAGTCGTAAGCACTCATTGATTTTACATCTGGATTGCATTATTGTGTATTTTATTCGGCAAAAATAAAGCAGACTATTCTCTGATATAGATTACCTCTCTAAAATTGGAGCCAGTCTAATAGGGTTGATTTTCCATGCTGTACAGAAACAAATAAAGAGCAGCAGCACACCCATCCTGGTGTTTTAACACAACAGAAGCTTGTATTCTTTGAAAAGTTCATGGCCCTGTCACAAATAGGACTTGTTATCAAATGGTTCAAAGCATTGATATTGTCCTTTGAAAAGGAAACAGGTTCATTTCTTTTGATGACAGCATCTTGCCAGAAGATGAAACCAGGTGAGCAGTAACCTGTCTGATTGGCCCAGTGTCAAGTCAACTGCTAAATAAGCCATCATGAACCTCTACGACCTTTCAAAATAAAGCTGCTGCCATCAGCTTCTTTTCCACTCGGTGTATTATATTGATCAGTATAGTCTGTTCAGCTGCTTTCTCATATTTAAGTGATATATTTCTCATTTTTAACCGTACGAAATGACAAAGAAAGCACTTATTAATGAGAATTAACGCACAGGCTTTCACTTTGAAATCACAATAACAACATTTCTGGGGGACGTTTTCACGGACTCTGCGTGACTTGACGTACCTTGGCACTGTGGGATGCGGTAACTGCGGTGCGCGCGCATAACGTCAGAGATGGAGATGAGTTGTAAAGCGAGAGATATCAAGTCGCGCGAGACACGGTGGGTGTCGATTCAGCCTTCAAAATAAAAGAAAGTTGTAAACAAGACATTGCTTTGAAAACACTTTACATCAAAACATAGACAGATAGATAGATAGATAGACAGACAGATAGATAGATAGATAGATAGATAGATAGATAGATAGATTTTGTTTTTTTACTCAATCAAAACTTGTACTTTTCTGGAATGTTGAATAGCTTTACCCCTTACTACTTACCAGCCTTCGACAAGAATAAAATATTGTCTCACCCTGAAGTCAGATCGATGATAAATTGTGATCAAATAATTCATAGACGTTGGATAATGGTCCAAAAGGGGGGATATCAAACACGGAGTAAGCGTAGGTAAAAAGCAACAGAAGTCAGCTCACAATTAACTTTTATTTTGAAATAAATTAACGGAAACGAAACGGCGTATTACCGCTCTCTTCACACAGCTTCCTGCAAACACACACCGTCTCTTGGCGAACATGGCGGCAACTTGACAACGGCAGCGAGATGAAGACGGTGAGGGCTTGAAAAAGAAAAGAGGTCCGTGACAGGCTGTAGGCCCATCCGCCGACACAAAGGCAGACAGCTTCGCCATGTTGGAAGAGGATAGCGCCCTTGTCCCTGCACGACCGAGGCCGGGGAAAACGTAAACGCGTCGGTGAGTGTTTCTAAAAACGGAGTCGAGGCTACGCAGAGGAGCGGAGCGGCGCGGCGCGGCGGCGGAGGAGCTCAGGGCGGACGGGAGGACAGCGGCTTCACCGGTCAGCCATGGAGGATGCGGCCCGTGGTCGCCAGCGTCTAATTTGCCACCCGGCCCACGCTCATTTTGATGGGAATTACCGCTGAACGCAAAGGCAAGCCGGCACCACCTGACACTTGAGGGGAGGAAAACGCGAAGCGGACCCCCACGTCAATGACTGTTGCGGCAGAGGAGCCCCCACGGTGGAGTCGGCCGGTTCCCAAAATATGACCAGGGGTGCTGGGACGTGTTGGCAGCAAGAAGATGACGACGGCTTCCAAATCTGGCTAGAGCCCCCCCGCGACAACCAAAAGCCATTCACCGACTCAGAGAGGGCGCAGAGATGGCGACTGTCCTTGGCATCCCTCTTGTTCTTAACCATCCTCCTCTCTGATCACCTGTGGTTCTGCGCCGAGGCCCGGACCCGGGTCAAGTTCGCACCCTCCCACCTCCTGTCACCCCAGACCCACTCAGCACACAGCAGCCTCAGAGGAAACCCAGCTATTTTTATAGGAAACTCTACCAAACATTTGTGGCGGCTTGAAACTTGCCACCCGGATAGTTTATCTAAAGACTGCTTTACTCTCGCGAATGCCGACGACTTGTGTGAGGGCCTTTCCGACAAAGAGGGGACGCGGGCTGTAAATATGAGCGATTTGTACCTTTCCTTTTGTAACTCCTACTCTCTGCTGGATTTGTTTTACGGCTCGACAAGTCCGGACAATTTAAACTGCAGCCTCGAATTGCTCACCGATGACACCAACAGATGCAGCGAGTGCGTCCAGGCGTACCAGCGCTACGACCAGCACGCCCAAGAGAAATACGAGGACTTTGAGCTCCTCACTCAGAAATATGAGCCGGGGGCTTATTCAGTGAGGACGTGCATGGAGCAGTGCAAGGTAGGATGCAAAATGGAAAGAGAGAAAAAAAAATGAAAGGGGGCGGGGGTTGTGGTGTGGTGTTTGGAGGTGGGGGTGATGTGGTGGCCATCTGTTGATTTGGGCCCGGATAGATGCCAGTTTTTGGTCCTCCTCCTCTTCTTGTCGCCATGGAGACGGATGACAGATTCAAGGAGACTCCCGGCTCCGGGCCTCATGTTCATTCATCTCCTCATTGTGTTTAGGCCCCATGCTAATGTGCAGATGGAGGCCCTGCTAGTGTCTCTCCAGCACCAGGAGCCGCTTCTCCGTCTCCTTTTACCTTTCACCGTGCTGTTTCTTTTGTCATTGCAGAGCGCCTCATGCTTTCTTTAGCTGACCTAAAGCTAACAAACAACTCCAGGAAACCTGTGTGTCCTGCCCGTGTGAGCTGTCGCAGTCCGCCAGGTGTTCATCATGGCCGCCCACTTAATATCGAGAGCGTTTCATTTAAGTCAAGAGGTGGTTTCCCCGCCTAATGTGGCGGAAGGCTCGTGTGTTTGCTCATTGGCAGGCCCTTACGTAGGCCTCGTTAACAGCTAGGCCTCGTGTCACTGTTTACCCGCTTTGATAGCTGAAGAAGGTGGGTCAAAGTGGGCTGTTGTGTGGAACTGGGAAACGCGAAAGGGAAGGAGGGGGGAAACATCAGCGTTCAGCACCGCGGACAGCTCCTCTCTACAGGCGCTGCCGTGGAGCTGCTCGCGGTGCTGAATGGCGCTCCCCGGCTCCATTCACAGAAGCCTTGGCCAATCCCAGATGGCCTCCATTCACCCAACCAGTGGCTGAGACACAGGCAAAGGCGTCAAGAAGGCGAATCTTATACGACCATCTGCTTACCTATAGGAACCCAAAAGCATTCACTGCAACAACAAGTGCTTTTTTCCCCCCCCAAACGCCTTTTCTCAGGATACTTAACCAAAACTAAGACTTAAATTACTAAGTACGCATAAGTAAATGATGCCCATAGAGTCAGAAAATGTACCTGTTGGTTTCTGGGAACAAAAGTGAAAATGTTTTGCCTTTTCTTTGTTTGTTTTCTTACTTTATGGGCAGATTTTTACAAGGTCCAGTTATCGGTTTGTAGTACTTTGAAACAAGATGATAATCTGCAATTGCCAGCTTATGTGGCTTACTTTGAGTCAAATAAGACATTTTTGGCAGGAATAGGATAATGACACTTGGAGCTTTTTGCGGTTTTAAGACAAGTAGCTTGAATTTTAGTAAGGTGGAAAAAGCGTTTCGATAAATTCTACCCGAGTTAAAACACACTCATTTTCGTGGAATTTCCCTTAAGTGAAAGTAAAATAATCAGAGTGGCTTGTTATGTGGAGTCAAAAATAAGTATTTAATTGGTTTGTAATGAGTAGAAATGGCTCCAAATGCAGCAAGCAAGATTATCCTGATAAAACAAGGTGTAATACTTATTTCAATGGATGTATAAAGAAATTTTCAGCTTGGTGTATCTTCAAATAAGATTACTGTTTGGACCTGTCAGGCCAGCATAGCTTTAATTGAGTGCGATGGGATATTTAAGCCATAATATAGTACTCTCCGTTCCAATGGAAGTAGATGTAATTTGTTACTTTCCACCCCCTGCATTTAGAGATACCCCAAATAATGGAAACAGGGCTGTACTCTACCTTAGCTACCTTAATCTAAGTCAGCAAAAAACATCACTGAATTCCCATCTTTTCTTTCTGTGTGTGTGCATTTATCAAACAATAATTTGGTCTCTTTCATACTCCCCTTGCTTGTGGTTTTGTTAACCCAAGAAAACACAACACAACCTTTTTTTTTTTTTACCAAGAGATAATACCATCATTCATGTGGTTGCAGACCTAATATTCTTCATCAAACTCACACTCACCCACATTCTCTATTTAGACGAAGAGCTGTGCTTTCAGTCATCTTTTGTTGCTACTTAAAATCAGGTTTCACAGTTAATGCCTGATATTGCCAAAGTTTGAATTAATGCTACCAAGTTAGTCTGAAGGACATATGCAAAGTGACTGTAGCTAGCTGTGGGGAAAAATTACCTTTCCCTCATCTGATCACTCAATCAGCTTCTTTTTTTACACACTTTCAAAAGGCACAAAAGTCACCATGTTAAACCTGATAAAGTAATACACCACTGAGGGAGCACCTGGCAGCTGTTGCAAGAAAAACTTTTAATAGGCAGAAACCTTGAGCTGGACTAGACACACTGGTGGGCAGCAGCAGAGAAAGTGGGCTAGTGGAGGAATTGTCTACAGCTTTAAATCTCGAGTAGTTTTAGAGCCTAAAAAGGACCAAAGTCACCAAACATGACCCCAACATCAATCCCCCAACAAGCAAACAACCCAGCAACAGTGGCAAGGTAAAACTTCCTAATGAAAGGCAGAAACCCTGCGCTGAACTCCCTGTAGCAGAGTTATTTAAAAAGGATCAATCACTTAATCAGTCTCTTTTCATACAGCGCAACACAATTGTTTTCAGGTAAGGTACAAAGTATATATTGTTGTCTTCAATGGAGTTGTCCTGAAGCAGCTAATTTCCTGTCTGTTAAACTGAAATAAAGTACCAGCCGACAGACTAGTCTAAGGAGGAAATTACATTCTGTTTTAACAACACACAGCTGACACACAACTTGTGTCTATTTTGTAGATCAAAACACTGCTTGAACTAAGTTGTGCCTCAAGTTGCCATCAGTCATCTTGATCCTGTTTGGCAGATTTTACTCACAGTATAAATAACTTGTTAAGCTGATGAGTAGTTCTGGTTTTGACTCGTCAGGTTGATGCTTTTGAGAGTGTAGTTGACGAAACACACACATTCCTGGTTGTTATTGTACTATTTACAGAGCTTAAACATCAGTCGGCTTCTGTGAAAGAATTTGACAAGATTGGAAAGATGTTGGAAACCTCAAGTAGAACCAGATGGGTGGGCACTCATTAGCCACATAGTGCAATTTACTTGTAATCCTCATCCACTTTACTCTGACTTTCACCTGATTATATTAACTAGCAGGCAGAAAACTTGAGTAGAACCAGACTGTGGTGGACAGCCATCTTTTGCAGAGAACATTTTGTATGTGACTTGATTCCCAAACCTAATATTGACATTAATGCAAAAATAAGCAAAAACATTTCTTGTAACAGGCAGAAAGTTTAAGCTGGACCAGACTCTGATGAACAACCATCTGCTCGATAGTGCATTTTGCTTGTAATCCTTGTCCACTTTACTCTGACTTTCACCTGAATATCGTATTGATCTACTGTCACTGTTGCAACACTCAGCAGCAATCACAAGGGAAAACCGGCTGGCAGAAACCTCCAGGATGGACAGCCATCTCCTGCAAAGTACATTTTCCTTTTAATTTAGTGTCTTAATCTAACATTGGCATTAGCCCATTAGTGAGCAAGCATTTGACAACAGTCCTTTTGACAGGCAGAAACTTGAGCAGAACCAGAGCATCTGGTGCTAGGAAACAGTCAGGTCTAGGTATTTGTTTATGTAAGACGATGCTAATTAATTTGCATATCTACAAGTCTAAGTTGTGGTTTCAATGACCTGATAGTAGTTCATTAAGGGCAAACACTTGACAACAGGAAACAGGTAGAAACCATGGGCAGAACTGGACTCATTGTTGGAAAGCAATCTGCTGTGACCTAATCGGACTATAAAGTTGGAAAGACAAAAGAAAGTTGGACAAAGAGTGAAACTGATTAAATAACACAGACAGACACACAAAAAACTATTATAAAAAGTATATAAAAAAGGTTTTGCCTCATTTCTATTAATGATGGTGATTACTGCAGGCTTTCCATACCATCTCTACTCTCTCATAAGACTCAAGGCCTTTCTTAACGCTGACTGGGTAAAGTCTGACATAAGAGAAACCCCTCTGAGCTTTGTGGGTCGGCAGCTTAAAAAATCTCAACTAAAATCATAAATGAATGCAGAATTTTCAAAGAAATAACCTGCCGAGAATGTACCATGAATGTACACTTGCACTCATATCAGTCGGAGAAGCCTTGGCTGTGCTCTTTACATTCTTTCTTCTGTTGCTGAACTAAGGCCCCACGCATGATTCATGTTTTACCGGCTGCCAGTCTCAGGCTGACATTTACCCGCTCTCAGAGGTAACCTCTTGGCACTTAAGGAGAAAACAGTCATTTAGTCAAGCTGCTAATTCCTTTCACAATGACCCCTCTCTATCACTTTCTTGATTATAGGTTCGTTCTCGTCTTGTAAATGTGGTTGGCAGGGGGAATAAACAAAGAGAGTCATGGCTCAAACGATAATGCCACCCTTGTTGAATTAATGGCTACCTGCCTTGGAGAAGCCTTGAAGTGCTGGGTAAACTGGGTGAGGTGGATGTATGCGTAAATATGGCACAATTACAATCACCACTGTAGTACTAAGAGAGAAAACATCAACAAAACACATCCTGATTGTTTTGTTTCAGCATTCAGGGGTTGTAGGTGTTGCTTATGCACTGCCAGGGGAAGATCTGTGACATTTCAAGTGGTGTTGTTTGACATGGAGAGTGGGGTTTGTTGTGCAGGAGTGGTTCCAGTGGTCCGCAGGTGGTGCTTTGATTCTTTTAGCCCGAGGTGAAACATCACATGGCGGTCACGGCCCTAGTGCTGTTCCTCACGATGGGATTCTCCATCATCTGACTCGGTGAAAAGCCCTCTATTCATCTTGACAGCGGGGCCGGGCTTGAAACATTTAAACCTGGGTTGATGCTCTAATGCTGACCTGAAAGCTGGAGTCCTGAGCATGAACTAAAATGTCAGATTCGGGGGTGGTTTTACAGGGAACAGTGAAGCCAGGACAAAATAAAGTACTGGAAAACTACGGCACAGAGCAGAAACCACCAGAAACACAGGCCTGTGATCTCCCTACATTGTTTAATACAGGGGTTCCTGCCTACTTACTGACTGTTTTAAGACAGATTTGGCCACTTCAGAGTTACAAGGCAGCTAAATGGACTTTTACAGTTATCAGATCTTATTATGTCTTGTAAAACTGAACTGAAGCAACAGAAGTCTGATTTACAGCCTGCTGTTTATGGACATTTTTAGACCAAGTCTCTTATACGGAAAGTTTCAAGGTCCTTTCACACCGGGAGCGTTTTTTTCGTGTGATTATTTCCGGCGTCAATATTTTTTTTGAACCGGTATCCTGTCAATACAAGCGTTTACATCAGTGACGTTTTCCTGTCCTGCGATATTGTGGCATTTATTTTTTCGTATCACAGTCGAGTTTTCTTAAGTTTCGCATACTGTGTGTCCACTACTGACCAATCAGATTTCGTGTTGTTGCGACGTCAGATTCACCGGTATATCCAACATGGCCGACCGGCTGATTGTTTACGTGTCGGAGAACAGAGTTCTTTTTGATAAAAAACACAAATATTACAAAGATTACGACCTGAAGGACAACTTGTGGAGAGTCATAGCGTTGGATTTCTCATATGATGATGGTTTGTGTGCTTTAACAGTTTGCTAAACGTCTTTGTTTTAACTTTCATCTGTGCTAAGTAACTTTAGCTCGTAAGCTAACCTGTTCAGATACAACATACCATATGTATTTTCACTGTCTCAAACTCAATCGTGTTGCTGTCACAGCACCATTAGGTCTCAGTTGTTACCTTACGTTTATGGATTATAGTTTAATGTGCTTTTCTGGTACTGGCCCCGACTCAGTACATGCCATCATGACAGACAGACATCTCAACACTAGAGTCTAATCAGAACTGAAAAACACTCAGTCTGCTGTTGTGTCAGTCTTCTCGCTTCCACCCGGGACGCGTCTTTTTTTTCCCCCCCGGAAAGTCGCAAAATCACATCGCGCTTGATATGTATAGTCAGGCTCGTCAAAATTCGCCTCCGAATATTTCGTAATTTCGCGTAGTAAAATTGCATCGTTTCCGATGTGTAAGGACCTTGAGTTTTGACACCTTTGAAGTTTGTCTAGGAGTTAGCCCAAATTCTCCTTGTTGAATGGGAGGGGCGATCAGAAAATATGATCTTGGTTGTAGTGGGCGGGGCTTAAATAGATAAGTTCATATCACATGCACAAGGGTTTAAAGTTATATGAAAACTTGAAAACAAAAAGACCATCAGCAACACGATTGATGAATTTTAAAGCCAGAAATCAGTGTGAGGGGTCAGGTGACAGAAGTCAAAAGTTCCTCACTGGGGCTTTAAATTTCTAGCTCTGACTCCTACTATATAACACCTTATGATGGTGGAATAACTTTTTGTTTAACTTTCACGTCATTTTATCCAACACTCGAACATTTAAAGCCTCAAAGAAGCCAGTTATGTCAAGTGTCCATTTCCCCATGAATCAGTTGTCATTTTTGTGAACCAGCCAGCTTTTAATCAGCTAACGGTTTTGGGACGCTGCCATTTTTCCTTTTGGGGCAACTGTCCAATCACCCAGATTGATGAGGACCCTCACTGTAGCACAGGACATGCTATCAGAACTTGTAGTTTCTCTGGCATGTTGGGGTTTCCCACCTGAAGTGATGAGTCGGTAGTGTTTTTTTTTCATTTTTTGGATCTTTTGCAGCAAAAAAAAAAACATCCAAGTCCCCAGCTGACATTATCACAGTGTGAGAGGGAAACATCTACAATTTTTCAAAACAAAACACTCAGACTTGACAAGAATAATGATTGAGGGATCTGTTCCTCCCTGAGTTTTTAAAGCAGAACTTTAAAAACCTGGACAAGTAAACAGGAAAACTCCAGAACTGTATCTGCCTCTAATACTTCCTTCATGTCTTCTTTGACCCTCTGTGACCTCCTCTGCTAGAGCGACGACTGCCAATCCTGCGTCTTCTTTCCTGCCAGGACTGTGATGCAAAATCATTTCAAAAACACAATCACTGATAAGTCTGCGCACAAATCTGTCTCCTCCCCCACCCTCCAGGTCCAATTGAATGTCTAATCTTAGCCGGTGTTGTGTGCGAGTGGAAAGGAGGACAGCGTCCACAGCGTGCTCCCTCTTTAGATCCTTGTCGACCGCACACATCTGCATTGATCTGAGCTCTTTTTGAGCTGGAGGGACGGGTGGCAGCAATACCAAGAGGTTGATCCCTATTGATTTGCACCAAGCCCTCTGCGCTCACTCGTCCTTCATTTGATAGTGGGCAGCTCCTCCGAAAACCGAAATAGGGCAGCGCCTGAGCTCAGTGAAGACATCATGTCACAATCTGAACCTGCCTGGTTGTAAATCTGGACCTGGAAGTGTGTGCGTTTGTGTGTTTTCAGACACAGTTTAGGAAGACAAGTGTTAGAGTTGCTCTCTCTTCATCTGTTTTCTTCGTTTCCTACAATAATGACAGTTATGCAATCCTGCAGTAAATGGTGTGTAACCACGAGGATATCAGCTGTCAGACGGGGGGCCTGAAACAGAATCTAAACACAGATGGAGCCTCGTGAAGAAATGCAGTTTAGGGTTTGAAACGAGGCTTGAGCTCCTCATTTGGAAACACAAATCTGTCTTTTCGACAAAATCACACCATCACGCTCATGATGTGTGACAAGTTCAGTGGCTTTCAGACCCGGTATGTAGCCTGTAATGTGTAACCAAAGGCATGGATGGATGAAATCCGAGACATACAGTACATTGGAAAAGTACATTGCTAGTTTGATTGCAATGACGCTTATCAATAATTAATTTTCATGTGGCGCCAAATGGTAATGTAATTCGTGTTTATAGATAAAGATGTTGTGTACTCCATGGTTTTTGTGTTTTTTACATAGACTGTATAAAAAATGAATGTAGCATTGGAGTGGCGGAGGTCACCGTCTTGGAAAAGCCAACTCAACCTCCTGAGCGCAGCTGTTTTTTTTAAACAAGATTGTAAATGTGTGTAATTTTGCTCTAAAAGTTGCCTTTTTTGGCTGAGTGTGTACATGTTTTCTACTGCCTCGAGTGGACACTCAGGGATCTGCAGTTTTCAGCAAGACCAGAGCTTACTGATTGATTTAGGACTGGAACGATTCCTTGAATACCTGGAGTACCTCGATTACAAATAATGATCGAGGAATTTTCTCTGCCTCGAGTACTCGTTTATAAGCTCAAATCGGATTCTTTCGAAGGTGACACAACCACCTCCTTCACCACGGTAGAAGGAGGAGTAAGCACTGTTTAGGTTTTGTGGAGCTTTTCCTCTGCAGAGCTCCAGTAGCTCATTAACACTTAGCCTCTGAGTCGTGGGTGGAGATAGCGCTGCTTTGCACACTTCTTTTCACGCTAGCTTGTAGCCCAACATTGCTGGTGTTGTCGCAGAAGCAGGTAACATAGGAACTATTCTGCTCTCTGACACTAATGTCTTTAGGGGCATGATGAAAGTTAACATCATAATTAGCTTTCTTGCGAGCATCACAGTCCACTAACGCACATGCTTCTTTGGCCCTCATTGTGGGGCTATAGGAAATCTAACTTTATGTGAGTCTGCGGTTTGGGTTCAATTACTCGAGTAATCATTAGAATATTCGGTAGAATACTTGATTACTAAAATATTCGATAGCTGCAGCTCTAGTTTGATTGTATCCCATGTTGTATGTTACATTTTGTCATTTTTCATGGCTGCAGCATTGGCGAAAAGCACAAGACAAAGAAACTTAGAAAGTATTATCTTGCTCAAGTTGCCTATTGTCCATCTTACCATCTAAGAGCAGGATTTGGATCCTTTCTCTAATGTAGATAGGAGTACCGGCTTTAAGGTCCAAGATGTTGGTGACTGGTGCAACAGTTTTACCACAGTGCCACCAGGCAGATCTGGATTTCTTTCTACCAGTTGGCTTGATATAAGTTTTCTCAGGCCTGTTTAGATTTTATCACTGTGTTTTGGGAGTTTTAACCAATGAGGATGAGTATTTACTGTAAAGCTGGGCTATAACAGTCTACTGAGGAGCCTGTTTGCAGTCCTGACACTCTTGTTAGTATTCAAGAAGTCTTTAACGTGAGAAACGCCGTTGGGAGTTTCTCCACCTTTAATCAGGAGTTTGAATGAGCCAAAGTTTTCATAATTTCCATTTTACATTTGAATTTTAATTAAGGGTTGGGATGAAAATGTATACAGTGTATTCACCATGAAAAGCGTTTGCACCTTAGACCTGCCCAACTCCAAACTGGATAAAGACAAAGTTGGCAATCAACTGGGAGCACAGCACAGTATTCAGCTGCCAAAGAAAGGCCTGTTTCCTAAAACACCAGAGAAATACTGAAGGTTAGTGGATATGGGACTGTGACCAGAAATATGGCTTCAAATAAATGCAAATGTTCCTCCCACCAGTGTTTAAATGCTTAAGGAGACTCAGATAAAGATGCAGTACTAAAAGTAAGGTTGGGTTTCATCTCTTTCTCTGTCTTATTAACTAGTTTCAAGCTAATTTGTCAAATTTAAACATCCAGAAGTCAATAGTGCCATTTGAATCCATCACCCATGTGTCTGTTTTTAGTTTTATTTCGACTTAGCAGGTGTATTCTTTGTGTTTCAGTCCATCCCATCAGCTCGTGTCACAGCGGCGACTCACAAACAAACTCTCTCCTCTCCAGATCTGTCAGTTTTTATCGGTCTGGGTCTGGTTTATCTCATCTGCATGGATATCCTGTGATCATGCCTTTTAAATTGCTGCCTGTGTTTGCCTTTTGTTCATAATTCATATTACCCAAAAACACAGCGTGCGCTCTTGTGCATGAATAAACAACAGGCTGTTGCAGCGCATTGCATTGATCACTCAGCTAGTACGCGTGCTAGCCACAAACGGAAGTGCTCGCGTGGGATTTCCGCCTTTGTGTCTCCCTGCAGCGGTTGTGGATGCTGACCTTGGAGAGGGTTTTGTCCCTCTAAGAATCCTGGCCCACTCCACGACAGCCCTTTTATGAATGGGCAGATCCTTGAGCTGCATGCCAATGAAGCAGAAAGGGGAAAGGGAGAGAGCGAGAAAGAGGGGAGGCTAGCTGCTGCTGCTGCAGTGCACAGCAGCACTCCCATATTGTTTTGGACTGTGAGCTGCTGTACAGAGAGCAACTCGGATCACAAGATAATAGCACAGCTGGAGAGGGCAGGGAATCCAAACCAGAGGATGGGGGCTGAAGTGGGTCTCCACTTTAAGAAAGCTGATTAAATAAATGTCCCCAAAGAGTGTGTAGATTTGGCTAACTACCCCAGCATAGATCCATTTCTTCATCATATTTGAACACGTGTTTTTAAAACATGTAAAGACCTGTAAGGGGACTCATTGTATTCATACTTTTTTAAAGAAAAAGTTGTTTAAGGTGCTCAAAACTCACACAAACTCAAAATAACTGCTTAAATAGGTACTTTGAAGCATTATAACTAGGGCCCGACCGATTTATCTGCGAGCTGATTTAATCGGCCAATTTTAGCCCGTTTGAGACTAATCGCTAATCGGCCAAATCTCGCCGATTTCTGCCGATATTTTCAGCAATAAAATGCAGAGAATAAGATTCGGTTTTGCTTTGAAAATGCTCCGCCATTTGAAAAGTACCCCGACTTATCCTGTAGATGGCGCAGCGACCTCATGACAATCTTCATCCACTAACTACCTCACAGCAGAGTGACGGATCTGAAGCAGGCAGCTCAGGGACACACGGAGGAGAGTGGTCCACCTCAACGGTAAATAAACCAGTTTGTGAAATACACAATAAGTCAACAAGTTTCAGTTCAACCCACTTCACGATGTTCCCCGCTGTGCTGGTCTGGGGGGTAGTTAAGAATGATTTTCTGGTCTGAGTTTGATCAGTCGGTTTTCCTGTCGGCGTGAAGAGCAGTAGCCTACAGTATACCTACAATATATAGTATACTGTAGATATCTACAGTATATAAATATATTTTTATAACTTCATAAAAAAATTAAAAAATTGGCTGATTAATCTGTAATTGGAATCTTTTCCCCCTAATAATTGGCATTGGCCCCAAAAAATCCATATCGGTCGGGCCCTAATTATAACTTCAACATGTCACATTTTAATATACAGTGCCTCCAAGGATAAAAGCATGAAGGGCTCTGCCAACTGATTGCAATAGAAAGAGACAATTGTATCGCGTCAACAGAGCTTTCAAAACGGGATAGTCTGGTTTTTTGGAGTGTGGTTATTTGAGATTTTAGTCAATAGTGAGCGAGCGAGACAAAGGAGATGTTAGTCAGCTGGGCCTCTTTGTTGGATGGAAACTAGACCAGCAACCATTCTAGCTTATTTTAACACACCGCTGCACACATGACTATTGATGCATGTGTTTGCCAAAATTTGAGTGTTAGCCGTTGTTACGGCTGTGTGTTTGTTTTGCATGTGTTTTTCCCCTTTTGTCTCTCCATAGCTGCCCAGGTGAAATCACTTGGTGCCAATCAGACTCACCTGGTGCTGGGAGTCTAAAAGCCCAGAGCTGCCTGCAGTCTGGAGAGGCATTTGGTGGGGAGCTGCTGCCCTGCTGCCTCTCATTTGTGTTGTGGGTGCTTTGTGTTTAGTTTGCAATTTTGTTGTTTTTTCACAATAAATCACGTGTTAAACTTTTGAAGGTGTTTTGGTTAATTTGATGGGTAAAAAGTTGAGGATAGTTGTTAGCCCCATAGGGCCGCCTTCAGGTGGGGCGTAACACCGTCAGAAAGCCCATTATTTTTCTCAAAGTAAAACAGTGCTGAACAAATGGAAGAGAAACAAGACTAAATGTGATGCTTTCGATCAAACTGTTAGCTTTTGTAGTGTTATAACGCTGCACATCTTCCTTTATTTGTAATTTAAAAACTGTCTTTTTTTATTATTATTTTTGGAGTTATGACTTATTTTAAAGTCTTACAACATGAAGACAAGATGTTTTATATTTTGCCATTTTTTGCCACTTTTTATCCTGCACATTGTTGCACAAATTTGCTGCTACTTATCGCAACTTTTGCATATATTTTATTAAAAAATGGACTTATACAGGTTTATACTATTTGTATTATATCTTGTTATTCTCGGTGACGTCAGAGAGGTGAATTTGCATTATTTGAAGACAAGTGTATGCTGAACCACATAAAAAACCACACCTGCATGAGTTAGGCCCCCGAGCTGGGCCACCTGGGTCCAAAGTCTTAGACACACCCCTGTTGAGCCAAAGTAAAAAGCTCACTCTAAGTTTATAATAACAACATGGTTTCAGTTTTAAATGATTATACACTTATTAACTAAACATACTATCAAGTCTGTGTAATCACACACTGTACCTTTAAGATTTCCCCCTAATAACCAAAAATGACCCTTTACAACTGCCTCAGTCTTACAGTAACCTCACTGGAGAGTTTTATAATGTCCTGATAGTGTGAAAATTAAAAAAAAAAGGTTTGTTGCCCTGAAGCAGACCAACACACTCTTCATTGTGCTCAAATCGCATCCTAAAATAAAGTCCCCTCCCTGAAGATGAATAGCCAAGCTGTTCTCCTGTTTGCAGCACCAGAACAACCAGAATTTAATTAGAGTAAAAACATCCATTACTTTGGCTTCATAATTGTGAGAAAATGAAGATGTTGCAAGCAGGATGTTGTTATTATTATTTTTTTTCCTGTGAAACACCTAAGGGTCAGACTAATACCTCCATTCATTTATGGGCATGACATCAATTAGTCTAACAGTCCTGTTGTCTGCATAGGTATTTGAATGGATTATCTTTACAGGGCCAGCCTGAATGCATATCCATGCTGTTGTGTGCTTTATTGACTTTCAGTGTTTAACTAATGCAGACAATGCAGGAGCAGAGAGGAGGTTTTTTTTATGCTTTTGTTTACCGGGTAACTCGCACATTCGTCCCGGCAAAACTGCTGACCTAGTAACTCAAATATCCTTTTCTTCCTGCCTCTATATGATCACATTCAAATTCAGCTTGGAGCTAATGGGATTACCTGACTCCCCCTTTTGGTCCCTGAGAAAAGACACCCCGCTCTACCTGCATGTGTCCTTTGCAGGAGCTTTTATTTTTTCAAATCAGGTCTGCATGTATACAGTGGACTAGGTAAAAGGTTAGGTTTGGATCTCTGTTAAGCTCTGTGTGGCCCATTAGGATGATTGAGGTTTGTCCTGTTAAATGAATTGTCAGCACTGGGCATGAGTCTTGTTTATGAGGGCTGCAGTTAGCTGAACAGAAGTATCTCTTCATGGGTTAAATAAATAACCTTGATCATTGCATAATGAGTTGATGGCGTTTGACAGTAAAACACCTCTGGAAATACTAAAACCAAACTGACCAGAAGAAAAAAAATCAATTTCAAGTGGGGGCAGATGGCTCCCCCTCAAGGATTTTGGTCCTTCTCAGGTTTTCTGCCACTTTTGGTGCCTCATACAACCTGTCAAGTCATTGAAAAAAACAGTTATTCATTCACAGCCACCTGAATGAAGCTCTGAGTTTCAATGTTATTGTCCTGCTGAGGCTCAGTCTGGTTTACCGCCGGTGCCAAAAATGATGCATCAATAAAGCTTTTAGGAGGGTTTAAAGAAATATTGAACTGAATGACTCAGTCGTATAAAAGTGTTGTTCTGAATGGTGGGATGCTCAGGAAGCGACTACTCCATGATCTAAGTCTGCGGTTCAAATAAGTTCCTACAAGTAAACAGCTGATCACTGTCGATTTTAGCTTCCACTACTCAAACAGGGATCAAGAGTGCTTTTGCTGGGGACTATTTTCAGTTGCGAATTAATCCATATTAATCCACATTTGTGTTCTTGTTCTTGTGTTAAGTCTCGCTGGCATCAGGGCAGCGTTTGTGGGATTGAGTCAGTATAAACTACAGTGTGTGTTCAACATTTGGACAATATCTCTTAATGCAACATTGTAGCTCAGAATTGCCGAATTCTCTCTGAAGACGGAGCAGAACGATGAGATGTATCAGGAAGTCCTGTCTGCACTTTTCAGGGGAGCAGCAGTAAGAGGAACTATAGATAGTGTAACTATAAGGTGAAAACAGAGCCGGCCCTAGGCATAAGTAAACAAAGCACCTGCTTAGGGCCCTGCGGCCAGTAGGGGGCTCCCAAGAGCAATCAAAATAATAATAGTAATAATGATATTTTTTATTTTTTGCATGTATGAGTGATGCTTTCTGTATGTTCAAATTTGTAAAAATAAAATAACGTAAAAACATTTTAGTGCTGCTGCTGATGTAAGGTCCTTACACACTGGGAACGACGCAAATATACAACGCAAAATTACGAAATATACGGAGGTGAATTTTGACGCGCCTGACTATACACATCAAGCGCGATGTGATTTTGCTGGAAAAAAGACGCGTCCCGGGTGGAAGCGAGAAGACTGACACAACAGCAGACTGACTGTTTTTCAGTTCTGATTAGACACTAGTGTTGAGATGTCTGTCTGTCATGATAGCATGTACTGAGTCGGGGCCAGTACCAGATAAGCACATTAAACTATAATCCATAAACATAAGGTAACAACCAAGACCTAATGGTGCTGTGACAGCAAAGTGCTGTGAGTTTGAGACAGTGAAAATACATATGGTATGTTGTATCTGAACACGTTAGCTTACAAGCTAAAGTTACTTAGCACAGATGAAAGTTAAAACAAAGACGTTTAGCAAACTGTTAAAGCACACAAACCATCGTCATGTGAGAAATCTGACACTATGACTCTCCACAAGTTGTCCTTCAGGTCGTTATCTTTGTAATGTTTGTGTCTTTTATCAAAAAGCACTCTGTTCTCCGACACGTAAACAATCAGCCGGTTGTCCATGTTGGATATACCGGTGAATCTGACGTTGCAACAACACGCAATCTGATTGGTCAGAAGTGGACACACAGTATGCGAAACTTTAGAAAATTCGTCCGCAATATGAAAAAATAAATGAAAAATATCACAGGACGAGAAAATGACGCTGTTGTGAACACCTGTATTGACGGGATACGGCTTCAAAAAAAAATATTGACGTCCGAAAATAATCGCAGAAAAAAACGCATCCAGTGTGAAAGGACCTGTAGGTCTACGATTCTTAGTGCCGATATGTCAAAGCTAGGCTACCGTTATGTGCGTCCTGCTGTGCAATGTGCGCTGAGCATCCTGAAAGTGCTACATTTTGAGATTAAAAACCATATGTGGCACCCTGAACATCATTCATCAGTCATTCATTGGTATTATTTGTATGGTTGCATTGGTATTATTTATGTTATTACCAAGGCCACCCCCTTAAATGTGTAAAGACATTTTGTACTGTCGTAGATGTGTGAATGATCAACAATCAATATTATCAGCAGAAATAGAGGGCCCCAAAATCAAATTTTGCTTAGGGCCCCATTAAGGCTTGGGTCGGCTCTGGGTTAAAAGTACGATTCATGTGGTTCTGAACTTTTGAAACATGGTTTTGCGTTGAATAAAGTCGATCATAATAATGATACTTGCACAGAGCATGCCAGAAACAACACTTTTCCTGTTTAAAATGTATTAATTTTGGCGTTTTTTAATCAGTTTCTTAAATTTTAATCATAATGTAATTGCTCCACACAGATGTTCAGAGAGGGAAAGTCTTTGGCAAAGGATATACAAATATTTTCCCTGGACTTGCGCCATAATTTGACAAAACGTCTCAGTATCAGCGCTCCTATAGGTTTCTGTGGTGATCTCTCTAAGAGCTGCTCCATTTAGCAGAGGAGATAGAGGATGCTGAGCAATTGTCACAGCCACCTGCTCCACCCACAGTCCTGACTCTGCTCCTCCCTGACCTCTCCTCCAAATCCTCACATCTGATCCGCCAAGTGGCCACCTGAGTTGAGAGCCGCTCAGCCGTCACCCCCGAGGTGTTCATCTCTGCTGTAAGAGTGGATGTTAAATCCTGATCTGGATCTAATTTCTCATGTTTGCTCTTTGACACTTACAAACGGCCCTAAAACGCCCCAGAGGGGTATCGGAAAAGTCTTCTCAGAGTGACTGGAGGAGTCTGGTTTTTCAAGGCCGTGATGTTGACTGCGGAGACGGGGGTGGGGGAGTGGAAGAGGAGGAGGAGGAGGAGGAGGAAGAAGAGGAGGAGGGGGGATGTATCATCGCAGGGGCTTGTGGGCGGAATGGGAGGCCTCTTGGCTGTTTAACTTCAATTTTGTCCTTGTATATTAATCACACATTCCTGGACGGCTTCACTTGTTGGGTATCTGTTACAGTATATATCAGAGCTCTACATAACAGGGGTTTGCTTAGAGTGAGTTTAGCTGACCTTTTCTTTTTAAAAGCATCCATGCTTTACTTGAATGCTCGTGACATAAATAATATAACTGATGCAAAGCTGATACAGATGCTTTCCTGGCTGAGATTTGCACACTTTCACCTCTGTGTGGTTCTCAGGTGGATGATAGTGTCGCTCTCTCTCTGTCATGATATGTTTTGTTCATTTGGTTTTCTCATGGTTTTGTTATTTGAGTGCTTGTCTTGTGAGTTTTCAGTTTGCGTTTGACTCCGTTTCCCTCATGTTCTCTGTGTTTTATTCTTTAGATCAGATTTCAGTGTTTCCTGTTTTATTTTGTAGTACTCCACCCTTGTGTTTCTTGTCTTGATTTACCTTTTCAGGCTGTTTTTGAATTCGCCTAGCAGTACGTACTGATTTGCCCAGAATTTAGTATGCACTAGCTGAACAAAAATCCCCGGATGACGTACTGATTAAGGACAATTTCGCAGTATGCATCGGACCAGTCTGCTTCGCCTACTGTTACCCACAATGCAAAGCGCCTGGGCACAGGCCGGAATAGCAGAGAGCGGCGAAACTTTTCACCTGAGCATTCATTTTTTAAGAGGACGGCCAAAAGATTTCTCCTTCTGACAGCCTGTCTTCTCCTCCTTCTTTCAGCATTATGTGTGCAAACCACTGACAAGAATGCAATGTTTTGTTACCATATCGTACAGTTTTTATCCTCTATTTCCATCACCTAAAATTTTCCCACTTCTCCTCATACTTTATACTGTACAGAACGCGTGATGTTTACCACACACAGCACGTGCCATCAGCGATGTTTACATCACACAGCTGGACAGGCAGCTGGCATTAGAGGGTGTCAAAAGCTTTAATGCAGAAAGGTGAGTAAACGTTAAAGCAGTCTGACTCAATCATCAGCCAAGACGATATTTGATATAAACTGACAGGAGACAGGAGTTTGTGTTAGAGTGTTTTAACTTTGTCAAACTATTGGGACGAGGGGAATAAGACCCCATCACGCAGACGCCATCAGTTAACACGTTTAGTGAGGATTGCAACTTCTTTCATTTAAGTGAAACGAGGACAACGTATTTACAGTGCCGTGATGAGAATCAAATGCCGCCAGATCGACAAGTCATTGCATAGACAGAAAACGTTTTGATGGCTGGTATTGGGCTAAAAAAATCCCCCAAAAATCAATTAAAACACATAAAAGATTTTATTTTAGTGCGTAAATGAATGGGCAACAGTGTAGTGTTTTCCAGCTAAACCAGGCCAAGCATACTACATAATAACTGCCGACTTGCGGTCATACTGCATACTAATATCGAACACAGTACTCAGTATCTACTGCATACTGCGGTCAGCAGGAGTATGCAGTAGGCCAATTCAAAAACAGCCTCAGTTTTCCCTCCTCTGTAATTATCTGCACCTCTGTCTCGTTAGACTCACCTGCCTCTTGTTGCTCGTTTCCCTCTGTGTTTGTATATATAGTCCCTGTCTTCCTCTGTTCTTGTTGGTTCATTGTGTGTGAGTTTGTCGGTCAGTGTGTGTCAGTCATGAATCCTTTGTCTCTTTGTGTTTTTTTTTTTTTTTGCCCCCAGTGACTTTTGTTGGATTTTTTTAATTGGACATTTTGAAGATTTTTTTCCCCCATCATTTAGTTCTTTTTAAACAAATCCTTGGTTCCACATTTTTGGGTCCCCTTCACTTCCTTAACTTTAACTTCCAACTTTCAACTTAATTGTCCCTAAAGGGAAATTCATGTTGCAGAAAAGCAAAAAACACAGAACATATGGAGCACATCCACACAAACTAGTGATGGGCACAGCAGTTCTTTTAGATGGACTGAATCACTAGAATCAGTTCACTAAAAAGATTTGTTTAAAAGATTCGTTCACCGAATCACTGAACTGATACACAGCTGAACGGTTCAGGGTTCAGTTCAGTTCAGACTCACTGATTCTGGGACCAGGAGATGAGAGTGTTGTGGCTGAGTTGCTTTTGTAAAAGTGAACTTGTCTATAAACCATGACGTTTTAAGTGTACTGTCCATTGGTGTGCTATTTATCTGGTCTACTCTGTAAATTTGGCTTAGTGAGTGATTCATTCACTGAACGTTTACCCCACAGCTCATTCAGTGAAGAATGAAACTGTGGGTTTTATACACTACCTATTACATGCTGTGTTCTGCTGTACACAAGCTGTTGTGGCGGCAATTTAGCAGAGTTAACAAAATAAAAAGTTAGTTTTCTCTGAGATACACTGGAACACGACACACCCCTGTCTCCCTCTGTCGCTCCTGTCAAGAGCTTGCTACAGCTGGTGAGTCCCACTCTCGTTTTAAGTTTGTTTAATTGGGAACTAAAAGTGTCAAAACAACAGGGAACAACAGTCGCCATGAAAGTATATCCCTCAGACAAAAATGCTTCCAGAGAGTATAGTTCTCTGGAATCATTGGTCAGACCTTGATCAGCAGCGGAAGTGATTCGGTTCAATACGTTCACTTTAAAGTTTCGGTTCTTTTGAACGAATCATTTGCGAACGACACAACACTAACAACAAACCCTACACAACATTGAAATGGCAAACTGGGAGCTGTTCCATACAGTCGAGGAAATATATAAATAAATAAGTGAAGTGTATCATAACTGTTTAGAATTTGAATTAAGTTGGGTAATGTTTAACCCCGGACTGTGACACTCTCCAGCGTGACTGCTCACGCTAATAGTCACATAAGTGCAGCAGTTTTCACCGCCGTTATCTGCCCTCCATCTCCCATTAAGTGACCTTTCACATCAGCACTCTCTGCCGGGCTAATAACCAATATGCTGATTGCTCTCAGCCCTCGTCATATAAGCTAGACTGACATTTTGTTTTAACAGTATATACAGTACGGTTTAAGTGCTGACTTGGCAATGGATCAAAACCCAGTGTGGGATCCTCGCTGTCATATCATGGAGCTCAGGGTGCAGACCGGCTGTCTAAAGAGTGAGGAGAGAGAGCGTGTTCATGGCAGAGTAACCCAGTAATCAACCCAAACATGTCAATAATGGATGAATGGGTGTTTACAGTGCTGTTGTACACTGAGGAGAGTGTGTAGCATGAACAGCAGCAGAGCTAAGTTCGGCTTGTTTGGGATTTTTTGTGTGAAAGTCCGGCCTCAGCGTTTGCCCGGCTTAGTTTTATCACGCAGCGACATCTCAGAGGGTGGTGTTCAGTCAATATGTCCCAGGCTTAGGTCGGGCCTCCTGCAGTCAGCAGCCTCTGCATCAATACAGAAAGCAGAGCCACCCTGACCTATACAGCAACCTCCCAGAGCTTTGAGCTGAAAATGAATTCTTTAAACCTCTGGAAAGGAGAGCTGCAAGGCTGGACCCGAGCCAAACGGGGGGTACTGCCACCAGAGCGGGGCTTAATCCACCAAACATAAAACCAAAACCTTAAAGACAACCATAACTAAATTCATATCGAGATTGTTTTCATCCCCCACACACGCACACACAAACCAGATTGAAAGCTGATTCCTAGATCTACCTGTTTTGTAACTGATTCATGCTAAACCAGGCTGAAAACAAATCCGGCCATACACATTCATGACCATGTTTTCTGGGAACTGATCTACCAAACATGGTTCAGGGAAACGGATGCCATCTTCGTCTCTGTGTCCTGATAGGTGGATTCACCCGACCGGTCAGACCTTGATGCTCTGGCGCCCCATATTGGTGAGCTCTGCAGGGCATTTCCAGCTAAAAGGTTCAGGGTTTCTGGAAGCCTCTGGACATCTGTCAATAGTATGGATGGATCTCTAACATGTCAGGAAAAGAATGTGCGACTTCATGCTGTGTGTGGATCAAAACAAAGCTCATGAATAAAGCGGTGGAGCCTCTAATAATTGAAGAAAACACACAATGACATGCTGGATTATTCAACAAAATAAAAGCCAGATTGAGCTCGTGTAAAAGCTTTACCGTAATGTAAGAGGAGCACCAGCATTTAAAGCCAGCCAATACCATCGATTGATCACTAATCAGTTCTTCTCTTTACTGTTCCAACCTTTAAACATTGTCTTCTGGACAGTGCCATGCTCTCAGCACTTATCCTGTCTCTATCTGTGTTATTTAGTCGTATTCACGGCAATTTGTGCAAACAGAAGAGTCCTGATTAGTGTCATAATCCAGAGATTTGATTCAAAGTGACTACTTGAGGAAAACATTTCAGACAAGGCGCTCCAGAGCCGAGGGAGCGCCGGAAGTTTTATAACCGCTCTGACCAAAAAAAATAAAAACTTGATTGAATCATTTTTGAAGCTTATAAAAATGGAGCTGTTTCCCATTAAGGTGGAATGAGAGGCACTGTTTCAGTCAGAATGAAAGTATGTGATAAAATGAGTATTTTATGAAGTGAATTTTGTTTTAACAGTCCTGTTCGAGAGGTTACATGGCTGGTGTAATAAAACTGCCTTGAATTACCTGCGAAACATTACCTCAGAGCAACATTTAAAGAGAGACATCCTCATTTTAGATTGTGTGATATATTTATTGGCATCATGCTGCACGTAGGATAAAATATGAAGCCAAAACGACTGGAAACAAGGAGGATTTTGGTTGTTATCTAAATTTTAGTACAGTTAAGCCTCCGACACATTGCACTGAGTTATACTATTTTACTGAGATGCACCAATAACACTAAAAGACAACATTTGAGGACTCCTGTGTCTATAACATAGACTGTATATAAAGTAGACGCTGTCTGCCTCCTCACTGGGTGAAGCCACCCCCAGAACAGCACCCTCTGGTGACGGGCTGCAGTATAGGTCATAAATCCCGACTCCTCCAGCAATCCCTATAGAGCTGTGAACAAACTTTAGAAATTTATTACACAGAATATACATTTTTCCTCCCCACTGCTTGTGATAGTGACATGTAGCTACTTTAAGACTGGTTTGCGCTTAAAGGTCCTTTCACACCGGGAGCGTTTTTTTCGTGCGATTATTTCGGACGTCAATATTTTTTTCCGAACCCGTATCCTGTCAATACAAGCGTTCACATCAGCGACGTTTTCCCGTCCTGCATTTATTTTTTCGGCTCATGGTTGATTTTTCTAAAGTTTCGCATATTGAGTGTCCACTTCTGACCAATTAGATTGCATGTTGTTGTGAATGAGGCGGGACTTTCTCCAGGAAAAGTCTTCCCCGGGATGCGTCTTTTCCCCCCCAGGAGTCGCAAAATCGCATCGGGCTTGATGTGTATAGTCAGGCGCGTCAAAATCCGCCTCCGAATATTTCATAATTTCGCGTTCTATATTCGCGTCAGCCCCAGTGTGTAAGGACCTTTCGTCCTCTTTATTCCTTATAGCTCCATTTTTAGCTCAGCTGTCTTGGCTTTTAGCTTCTCGCTAACATGTGTTAGCTTGGCACACATAGCCTCCAGGCTAAGCAGGCGACCATCTACCGAGTCCACAGTAGTCTCCAGAGAGGCGGTGGGTTGGCCGTGGCTGGACACAATCGTTTGGACGAGGTGTTGAGAATGGTATCTAAAACTCCGAAGCTAGCTCGGCCTTGTGGCGTTCTATAAGGCTTGTTAGCGTTGTCATGCTATGCTTGTTAGCAGCTTCAGCATTCGGGGGTATAGAGTCTTTTTTGTTTTGTTTTGTTTTGTTTTGCTTTCTTACCTGCCATTTTCAAGTGGATCGTGGTGCTGTTGTCTTCCTGCGATGCTGTTTCGGGCAGTAAGAGGTGGAGAGAGGACTTGAAAAATTAAAAAATAAAAAAGAGTGTGGGAGAGCAGGAATGAAGCGTTTACTCTGCGTCCGCCACGACTGGAAGTCCATTTTTAAAAGTTATGAGGGGGTTTATGTTTTCTATGATTGACACGTGATACCGCCTAGGGGTATATGAAGATTGCATAGCTCACCCAGGGGATACCCTGTTTGAGCCGAGCGTCATCACAGCGACTCTCCCATCGGATGCGTACAACGCTACTGCGCAATGTTGGTTTGAGGAAGCAGAGATAAATCGTCGAAATACCAAGATATTTTTGGCTTCAAATCCATATTCTAGCAGCAGGCAGAACCAAGTTGTCCACAGTATATACAGTCTATGGTCTATAATAACTTACTTGCTTTTATTTTCTACACTCCTACACCTTTATTTCCCCCCCTCCCATAATTTAAAACCTTTGTCTAATTCGATCTTAATTTCGAAGCACATTGAGATGCGAAACCTATCTTGGACTACAACCAGCTAATCCTCAAACATGCGTCACGCTGAGAAATCTCGCCCACTCAGGTTACCTGAGTCAAGTTTATTTACAAAGCCCCAAACTTGAACGTCTATCCCAAAGGAAATTATGCTGATTACATGCAGCATCATTGTGTTTTGTTGAGTCCCTCGTGTTTTAAAAAAGTGTCGAACCACGCTACAAACAGTGAATGGTACAACGTTGGAGGTTAATTACAGGATGTAAATTCGTGAATGGTTCTGCATAAATAGGGAGGAGGTAGTTAAAGGGTTGGGTTTGTATCTCTATAGTAGAGGGCTTTTTCTGTTCCCTGTTTTCAGGTCACTAAGCTAAACAGTTTCAAGGTTTCATTCATCTTATCAAAACCTACAGCTTGGACTGAGCTCCCCCTCCAGTTTCCAACCCCTCAGGCCACTTCTTTCAAGGGTGCCAAACAGAAACGAACCTGGCACAAGAGCTCAGTCAAACCTATAGTCAGACTCTGCAGCTCCCTGTTTTCTGAGCGCTCTTTGGTAAAAGGACGTTCAAACCGGGGTTGCACTGAAATTGCAAACCGTCTAATTTGATGAGGACGCTCTGCCTCCGAGTGTCATTTTCCAGACGCACACACACAGCGCCTGGATCCGTTACATCACCAGGGAATGGGATGTAATAAGTACGGACATCAATGCAGGAAGACAGACACCAGTATGCATCCCTGTCCTGCTGGATTATGCAAGGGTTGCGTCACTGACCTAAGGCAGCCGCTGAGATTTGAGTTGTGGGTGCATCAAAGTACCATCAAGTAAATTTTGTCTGGATTGGCAGTATTTCTTTCATGTCTTGTGTTTCATTTATATAAATATATATATTAAAAAAACACTTAATTTTCGGATCCCTGACCTGAGAAGGAGGGCTCACCAAACCCATCAAAAAAACCTGTCTGCTCTTGCATATCTGCACACTCAGTCCAAAACAATGCGACACAAATATCATCAAACAAACAAACACATCTGGAAATAGCCCTGGTAGTGAGAAAGAGGCTCCCTCCTCAACCCCAGCCATAATTTGTGTTAGTGGTAATGATCTGTGTCATTCAGCTCCTAACTGGGATCTCACTCTGCAGCTGACTCATACGCTTTTTATAGCCGTCTCTGTCATTCCACTTTATAGCTGCTGCTGTGCGTGTGTGTGTGTGTGTGTCTGCTCGTGCATCAACACCTTTCTGCTGAGATGACAGAGTGTTGATACTTTATTTTATATTTACTTAAACTTTTTTTTATGTACCTGGAGCTGTAATCAACACAAGTTGCTTTGCACTTGTTCAGGGACAGACTAGTACTGGCTGAGCTGTGAAACAGGACACAGGCGCCTTAAAATGACATGTTTTTGTAGACATGAGGATGAAACTGGACAGAGCGGAGAGTTATATAATGTTGAATGCATGGATAGCATTGTGCATACCCTCAAAATTAAGACCTTCATTTAGGAGAAAAGTATCACCCAATTAAAATAATGACCTAAGTCCATTTTTGACGAAAATGAGTTTTTGGCCTAAATCATCTTTTGATGATGCTGCATGTAGGATAAAATATGAAGCCAAAACAACTGGAAACAAGGAGGATTTTGGTTGTTATCCAAATTTTAGTACAGTTAAACCTCCGACACATTATTCTGTATTACTGTGACGCACTGGGTAAAGCCACCCCAAGAACAGCAGCCTCTGGTGACAGGCTGCAGTATAGGTTATAAACCCTGCCTCCTCCAGCAATCCCTATGGAGTTGTACACAAGCTTTTGCGATGCTGACATGTAGTTACAGTAAGACTGGTTTGTGTTCAAGTCCTCTTATTTCTGTAAAGCTCCAATTTTAGGTCAGCTGTCTTGGCTTTCAGCTTCTTGCTAACCAGTGTTAGCTTAGCACACGTAGCCTCCAGGCTAAGCAGGCGACCATCTACCGTGTTCCGCATTAGTCTCCAGAGAGGCGATGGTTTGGCCGTGGCTGGACACAGTGGTTTGGACGAGGTCTATTTCGGCCTCCAGTCAGTGTTGTTTTTGTTGACGATGATGTTGGGGAAATATTTCGTCAACGTCATCGTCAACGAAAACAACCAAATATTTCGTCAACGTTGATGAGCTAAACATAAGTCTTAGATGACTGAAATGTGACGAGACCAATGTGCGTTTACTAGATGAAAACGTTAGTGGTGGACGATGAACAGAGTTGCAAAATTCATGAGCATTTTGTCAGTCAAACACTAAACATATTCTGCAGTGTTGTTTTCGTTAACGATGACGTTGACGAAATATTTTCGTCATCATCAACGAAAACAACACTGCCTCCAGTGCTAAGAAGGATATCTTAAACTCTAAATCATCTTTTTTCTTGGGATGATTTAGAGATGATTTAGGCCAAAAACTCCTTTTCTTCAAAAAATGACTTAGGCCATTATTTTAATTGGGTGACAATATCTGAACTGAGCTTGCCAGCAGAGGGCGCTGCTTTTGCAACCTAATTCAGCTAATACAGTAATGTTATTCCATGAAAACAGGACTCCCTATGAACCCTGCTGACGTCGTTCTATGTCTGCTGGATGTGTGAATGGACAGATGATCGCAGACACATTTGCCATAAATATTTTACAGCATAATACTGTCATGTTGTAAAAATTTTACAGCGCTCTTTAGTGTGGTGGCAAGCGCTTCTTGTGCTCCGTTTGAGTGGAGGAGAAAAATTAAAAGCAACAGCACTGGGACTTTTGGGATAACATGTGGCAACAGTTGAAAACAGACATGACTCTGTCGTGGAAATCACCACATTAATAATCTACATAAATGAAGTTCTTCTTTTGCTTTGCTGTAGAAAATAAATCAAACAAAAGAAGCAGCTGTTTTTAACAATAAATAGGTTAAGTGTTTATTGGGACAGTTCTGGTTATAATTGAATGTATCTTGTGCAGTTTTGAGGCTGCAGATGCTGTGTCTGTTCGTCTGCTGCTGTTTTCACACTGCTGAATGGAAATCGAGTGAGTGTGTATATCCCTTTGCGGCTCAGTGGTTTCTCTCGCAGGCGAGCTCTCCCACAGTCCTCTCTGTGTCAGATGACAGGCATGTGAATGGCCGCGTTGAGGGGAAGCCCTGCGCCGGGGCGAAGCAGAATGGAGGAAGAGCCCTCTTAGCATGTCAGATTTTTACAAGAGCTGTCAGCCTGAGACGGTCTGAGCTGCAGGATCCTGCAGGAATGACCAAAAATGACCCGTTTTTACAGCAGAGGAGTCACAGTGGGATGTATTATCCATCTGAGCGTTTCTGTGGATTCCTATGAAGAGTGCACCGTCTGTAGTATTAAACAAGGGTCATCTGGTTACATCATAAACATGAGATTTCTCTCTCTGGGGTTGCTAATTTATATGACATTCAGCACCAAAATAGCTCAGTAATGCTTTTCATCCTTTTAGTTGTATTGCGGATTGCTACCTGCTGCTTGCAACATCAGTACATTATGAAATAGTGTGCCCTCCCTACACAAATACACACACACTTAAACACACACTCACACACTCCCCGTGGAGACGTGCTCCGTCCACTATTTGATTTGAGAACATTGTTCACTCTCAGATTGATTGATGACAGCGTGACAGCGCACAGGCAGAAACACCCCCCTGAAGGCCTCGGATGCTCTTTTCTTACTCTGCGTCGATAACTTTATGTGCCAGGCAGGAACATGAGCTAAAATATTGAAATTCAGTGAAAATTGAATTATTACTTGACGGCTTAGCAAAACACATGTACTGTACATCCGCAGAAGCCTTTTTTTAGGGATCTATAAGAAGATCTGAACATCAAATTCTCTGCCTGAGAAAACTGATTGTTAATATTGAAAAGGATTGTGCAGCTTTTACAGCAACTAAACCAAATCGAATTCATTGCCTGAGCTTCGCATGTGCAGAGGGGTTGCACCTTTGCAGGATTTTGTCTGTTTACACTTACAATGACTTAAAGCTCCAGTGGGGAACTCTCAATTTGGGTCAGTTTTGGTGCCAAATTAGTTTTTGCTTAACATTACCCCCTCGCTCCAGTTTAAGGCATTAAAAACTAACTAATGAGTCTTGTTTGTTTTTGTATATGGTGATGGCTGGTGATGATGGTGCTGGTAATTTGATTAGTAGCGGACTGCTAAACCCCATTTCCTGTTCAAACCCACTCTTTGCTTGTTGTTTTTGATTGTGGAGATGTTTGGAAAATGCTCTTCTTACATTGTGACACTTAGAGCTTTGAGTTTTGAGTGTTCATTCATAGTCCACCAACACTTGAAATGGCTAATAGTTGTTGCTGATGAGAGGCGCAGCTGAACTGTCACTCTAGCTAGTTATAGGGCTGAGTGTGCGCCGTTCAAATGTCAGATGGAACATAGCTGAAAATCAGCTTTTTAAAGATACAGTGAGTAAAATATTTTTAGAGTAGGCTGAAATTCATATTGATGCTTTTTATGATACCCAAAAACAAACGAGTATTAGGAAGTATTAGGACTCATGATTTTATCACGACATTATCCTCGTAACTACTTTATTACGACTTTACTCTCGTAAGAAATGATTTTATTACGACTTTCTTCTCATAAGTAATAATTTTATGAACCTTATTCCCGTAAGTAATTATTTTACAACGACTTTATTCTCGTAATACCGAGGTCTAAAATTTTTTCTTTTCTTAATGTGGCCCTAACGCTCCGTCGTAAACAAGTGACAAAATTCATATTTTTTTGTTGTTATTGTAATCTGGTGAAAAAATACACAATTCTTTGAGTTTCTATGTAAAATATTCTCAGTAAATAATAAATGCATTTATAAAAAGTCAGCAGAATGAGTTTTTTTGTCAAAAAAAGACTGACTATTTAAAGGATATACCGTATTTTTCGCACTATAAGGCGCACTTTGAATTCTTTTGGCTTGTCGGAGAACTGCAGCCACCGTAGCCTCGCGGAGTTATTGAATGAGTTAAATAAAGTTTGAGTTATCTGACTGTTTTGTTTGGCTTAATGCGCTTTATAAACCGGTGCGCCTTATGTATGAAAATAGACGCAAATAGACGCGTTCATTGATGGTGCGCCTTATAGTGCGAAAAATACAGTAATAAGCAATGAGTGCTTTAACCACAGGGGGCGCCAAGATCGAATCAATTTAAAACTTGCCTTATGTTTAGTTTATGTTCTCCAAATTTGAGGAGAGTCAGAATTCAAGTTCACAGTTTAAAACACCTGCTGCATTTCTAATTCAGAGTAGGACTCTGTAGCAAGGTCCGAGGTTTTTGATGTGGTTCTGGTTGGAAAGATGTCAAGGTCTGAGGTTAATGAGCGAAAACACACACTGCAAAAAATAAAGTTCTTTCCCTCTTAAGTTCTGGGCGGTGTGCTCTGCTTCAGCCTCGGACTAACAAAGAGGACTGCACGCTTCAGAAAACTCAGAAACAGTCCATCACTGGTTTTACAGACTGTGTCTTATATAATAGTAATCAGTGTGGTGAAATTCAGATGCCAGCACTGCTGACACTTATCTGCCAAAGCGTCAGCGTTTGAATCTTAATTTTCAAATGTTATTTTTAGGCTTCAAAAGATCTGCATGTTAGCACTGGCAGAAAATGTCTTATTGGCATATTTTACATCTCTGTTAATGTAAATCTCTAAAAGCTCCAGAGCAAGTTATCTTTGATTTGATCCCTGGATTTTCAAATCAAGTGTTCCCCCGAGTGAAAGCCTCAAATGAGGGTGAAATAGTGTGTGTTAGAAAGGCCTCAGTGCCAGCTTGGTGTCTCAGTGCATTGTTTGAAGCAGACTTAAGCTGCATGGCGACAGAGGCTTTTTGAGTGCCAGGTTCCCATTCACACTGATCACACATTAGACTGATCAAATCAGACTCCAGACCTGCTTCCTGACTAACTCAATTTGCTCTCATACGCTTCCCTTTTCACGCTGAGCACACGCGCGCACATTTACACACACACATACAAACACACACACACACACACTTGAGCCTGGGTGCGCACTCGAACGTGTGCGCACAAAACAGAAAACCAACAGAGAGCGGGGCAGCACCCATTGAGCTCTAATGAAAAGCAGAAAAAGCCGTTACCTTGGCAACTGCCTGCATACAGTACATCTTCAGGAGGACCCAGATTTCCTGTCTGACTGCGATCGTATTGTTTTGGTTCTCTTTTTGATAGCCGCAGCATCCCTAGACAGATTATCTCACCGCTGGCAGGAATTTATGCTAAATCATCGCAGCCATTTGCGCAGACTGGAAGCCACCACGCTGAAAAATCCCAAATCAGTCTGACAGGATACCTTTAAGTCTGAAAACAGTAAAGCCACGGCCAATCTGAGGGATTTTACCTTGGGCTTGAGCCATCTGTGTGATTCATCTCACATAGGATGATCAGGACTCACTGTGGTTTAAATGAACATCTATACAGCAGGAGCATTTTTAACCCTGTGGTGGACCCCAATGAACCAGGAGAGATCACCTGTCAGTGCTCTAAAACCCAGATTGCGTTGACCTTTTTTATTTCTGAAGGATGAGCGTATTTCCTAGAAGACAGGTTGGAGCGTTTAACCCTTACCCCACACTAAACTCCACTCACAAACAATCCCAACATGAAGTCATTCGTGTCTTGAATATATCCGATACCACAAAGCGCTCTTGTCCGTGCTGTTCTCGTCATTATCATTCTCATCACCATAATCAGATTATCATAATTAAAATAATTGCCAGGGCACTGTTTGTTATCTCTGTATGTTGGTTTTCAACAGGAAACCAATCAGACCACCCATGTTGTTTCTCAGCGGTTGAAAAATGCTGGCGAGTTCAGAGGAGGGGACAGAAACCTACCTGTTTGGTGTGATTTAACCAAACATGCACAGAACTGTCAACCCAAAGTGACAGCTTACTCTCCCACATCTGTGCTATAGACGCTTCACTGTGGTTAAACGAAACAAGAGATAATGAACAGTCTGTGCCGCCTCTTTTTTTTTTGGAAATTAAACTTGGAATAGAAAAACCAGAGGGTGTATATCATCTAACCTAAAGATGTTTTTTTCTTAGTTATGGTGTAGCAATGTGAGGGCAAAACAAACCCTCTTTAAAATTAAAACCAATGCAAAAAGTGCAAAAACTGCAGTTCCTCAACTGTCCACCGGTGGCATAATTAAGTTAAATGGCAAATTGCGTCATTTGTATAAGCTGTACCTGAAGTGAAATTTACTGAAACGTCCCAGGAAGCTAAGCCTGCCTCAACCTCCCTTTTCTTACTTGTGTCTTCGTCCACTTAAAGCTAGCTTGAGTCAACATTTCCAATATGGCGACCGCCATCATTTGGCTTCAGAAAGCTTGGGTGATGTCACTGAAGCTGTGTCCATGTTTAACAAAACATGTGAAGCTGTCAAAGGGTCAAACACACCGTAACTCTGAGTTAGATACCCCCTCGAGAGGTGAGTGTTGATGACCGCTTGCTTCTCTAGTTTTACCAACTTTGGTAACGACCGCACGATAGCAATACACAGCAGTCTCATGTTTATGATGTCACCATATTGATCATTTTGCACTGCAGACGCGGTAGTTCTTCTGCCTTAGCGTCTCGGTCTGATTGTATTTCCATGAAGAAATTATCATAAATGTTCTTCTTTGAGCTGCGTCACCCCGCTGTAGTCCGTAATGGACTGGTACAGGTCTCGCTGCAAACAAGCGGCTGCTGGAAGAGAGTGGGTGTGTTGTGTTAAGTCTGTCAAAGCTAAAAAGATGTTTGGTGGCTAGTGCTATGGCTGGTACCCTATATGCACTGTTAATAAAGTTAGGTGCTGTTCTGAGCATTATTTGTGGTTGAGGTTTGTGTATGGCTCCTGAGACCGCTGTGTATTGCTATCGTGCGGTCGTTACCAAAGCAGTCGGCAACATTCATCTCTGGAGGGGGCGTCTAACTCGGTGTTATGGTGTGTTTGACCCTAAATTAATTTTACGCCGGAATATCCCTTTAAGGTGCATTTTCCATGGGAACTGATGGGATATGAGTCAAACTTTAAAATCAAATAACATGTTAAGTGAACTTTATTCCCACACGCTTTTTCTTGTTATAGTTTGTTTTTATGGAGCTGTTTTATGTCTGAGTGTTCATTAAAAAAAAATACTTTTTAGGTTTGTGTTTCATGCTAAGGGGTCTAACATTGATGATTGACAGCTTTGTGTTTAGTAGTGAAGCAGAGTCATTGAAATGCCACTGACTCAGTTTAAGTTAAATATGAGGTGAACAGAAGGGTTGGGACTTTAATTACCAAGGCTCTGTTCTGGATTAAAAATGATTTTACTAATTGTTGTGTAGCTATTTAAGAATATTGAACTCATTAAAAGCTGCTTGAATTTCTTTTAAACTTTCAGATTAGAAAAGTTTCTCATAAAGCAAAATATTTCACAAGTCTACCTGATTGAGAGTGATGTTTCTTTTGCCTGATTCATCACTTTGAAGCAGTCGTAGCAGGATGTGTCATGACTCGGTAAAACGCTTTAAAAGCAGCTCATCATGAGGACTGGACTTTTTCCACCGCCTGTGTCACTGACTTCAGGGAAACAAATGCACCGTGTTGCTATCCGGTTCCTGGAGATACAATCTTAGCTGCTGTGATGTCAGCGGGTCCAAGTTGCTGATGTTGACAATAGAGTAACCTTGTGTGGGCTCCACATGCTGATGCAAGGCTGTGCTGTAAACAAGAGAGCAACATGTGTTTCCCTCCCAGAGCGTCGCTAATTAAAGGCACAACATGCGATTTTTAACAGATGATTGTATCAAAGCCTCAACTTTTTTTAAAACCAGTATGAAATGGGATATAGGAGCAGTGCTTTTTTTTTTTTTACCTTATTGACCATGTAGTAAGAGCTATAAAGAGACTGAATCCAGACTGGGGTTTGCTCCGGGTTTATTTTGTTATGCTAAGCTTTCCAAGCCCGAGGCTTTATCTATTACATGTCACCATCTGTCTCCTTATGCACTGCCGTCTGTTTGTTTTGTGTCACATTCAACCTCAAATTTAACTTGGAAGAGGACTGAAACTTGAAGAAACGGAGGAGCGGTGAAACTTGATTTTTGAGTGACATTGTTATACCTGAACAGAAATACTCAGATCAGGCGATTGGCTATCACCTGAGGGAGCAGCTATTCCTGCTAAATGAAACTTAAGTAGATGATTGTATATTGTATTCTTTGATATTTTTTTTAAGAGGAAATATGTTTTGACATTTGAAGACGCCAGCGTGGCCTCTGGGAAATAATGATGAGCGTTTTCACTGTTTTCTGACATTTAGTCAACAAAACGTTTATTGACTCGCTGACAAAATAATCGGCAGTTTGATTTAATGGAAACAGTCGTCGGCTGCCATGTTGGTCTGGAGTTAAAATGCCTTCAGGTTTGTTTTAATGTAAAGTTTTCTGTGTAATTGCATGCTGCTGCAGCATGCTGTAATTGATGTCCAATAAAGGAGCCAATCATAAGGCTGTATTTTGAATGGCTTGGCTCTGCAGTGGGATCCAATTTCCCTGTGGGCTCTGCTAGCAGACTAGCTTTTTGCTAATATCTCATGAGCTATCAATCTGAAAAGTGCTGTGTGCCCGTTTTAGACGAGTGTGTCGGAAATGATTTACAGGACATGAATGGAAAAATGACTCTGCTTTAAACATGCGGAGGAGAAGAAGAAGCAGCAGAGCCAATTTTATGTCAGAAAAAGCACTCCAGTTAATGTGTCCTCTTCCTCTTCATCTTGTTCTTCTTCTCTGCAGACGGCCTACAAGCCCTGGCTGTGCGCTCAGTATTTCCCCACCACCCCCCATTCCTGTGAGAAGAGGGTACCCTGCCACCAGTACTGCCTGGAGGTTCAGCAGAGCTGTCCGTTCATCCTGCCTGACAACGATGACCTGATCCACGGTGGCAGCCCCAGCTTCATCTGCACAGGTAACACCTCCTCGCCTGATTCTCCCTCTTGTTGACAACAGCAGGAGCAGATCAGCGTGGACCTGGAGTGTGCGTGGGCGTTCATGTGGCCTTGTATTCTCTCCTGCTTCAGAGAAAAACCCCTAATTCAATCTATGTGAGCAAATAGCGTTTCATTAATTCATGCTGTCTCCATATTTACTGGAAAGTGCCCCTGTAGGAAAATCGAGAGGTCTTTCCGAAGGCTTTCTGATGACACCTAGTGGCGTGTTCGAGCATAACCGAGCTCAAGCAAGGACATTTTAACAATGCATTGATAGATTGAATCTGGCCTGTCTCTCAATATTTACTGCAGTTTATACAGTAGTACTCACCAAGGATTCTGCCTCAGAGGAGCACACACAGGCTGGATGCCAACAAACAAGTAACCTGTAGGATCTGAGGGAAACAACGGCGTCCTTTCAAAGGCTTTAGTGGTGCTTTTCAGTCGGTGTGGCCGCAAAGGTGGAAAATAAATCGACCTGCGTCAAGAAATATGCGAGGTCATCAACAATTTATTGCCTACAAGGCTGTTGAAAGATTGTGTTATATACATTATTTGATGCACTTTTCAACAGAAGCTCAAAAGAGGTTCAAACGGCTGCATCTATCTCTCCTTCCCTGATTCCCTCTGCTTAGACAAAGCTGGGTCCAGTGGCAACAAACTCCCCCCAAACATCCCTCTCTCTCTCCCCAGTGATGCTCTCCAAAACATCAGGGGGGATTTTGAGATTTTGAGGCATCCCCATGACAGGGATGTTTAATCCCTCCAGTGCTTTCTTGGTCCACCTCCCAGCTGGACTTGTTGGCCTTGTAAAACCCCCAAAGGAAGGTGCCCAGGAGGCATCCTCATCTGATCCCCAATGCCTCAACTGTCTCCTTTTGATGCATCGGTGTACCGGCTCCACTCAGAGCTTTCCCTGGATGTTTGATCTTTGGACCCGGTCTCTTTCAACCCTCTGGACAAGTCTTACCTCAGCCGCTTGTAACTGCAGCATCACTCATTTTTACCTTAAAGCTCAAAGCCATAGGTTAAAGTTAGAATATAGACTAGCTGGTTAAATACAAGAGTATACAAAAGCTCTTTAATGGAAGAGAAAACGACAAAAGCTCCGCTGTCATATGAGAAACAGAACCGGCCGCACAAAAAGAAAAAGTTCCAACACCTGTGCAGGTGAAGAGTGGGTGTGTGGGGGCGTAATGAGTCACTAACAAGCTGTTCATGCTTTAGTAGACAAAAGCTCCATCGACTCCACCACTGTGGTCACCTTTAACATCCCAAATCACAGGTGTGTGGTCGTTTTTCAAAACTAAAACTTGTTCATTTTAAAGCTTGGACATTTAGTTAAAACGCAAAACTGCACATTTACTCTCTGTATATTCATGTCTTCTAGGTCCAGATGAGGTTGTGGGTCATGTTATAATGCTGCATACATTATTTTGGCCAGATGCTGTCACTTCCACTACAGAGTCTCTAGGCTTTGTACTCAATGACACCACTGTTCTTTTATTGTTATTCCTTACTATGGGCTCGGGCTGTATGCTGTATAGTTTTCTCTTTGTGTTGTACATGTTTTGAGCCCATGCAGTGACTTCCACTACCGAGTCATATCTGTTTTTATTCAAAATTCCACACTTTGACAAATCTAATATAAGCCTTTGTTAATCAGTTTATATTAGAGGGGCAGGGAATATTATAAATAAGGTTTAAGATACGCTAGAAATCTACATCTGGACTACAGACCTTTTAAATTAAGACAAAAGATCTTCTAATCTAGCCGTAATAAAATTTGTATTTGCAGGAACTTTTAATTTATTCAGATTTTAATGTTTAGATTGAAGTTTAATAGCACACTATACTGTCTTTTCCTTGATTACAGATGAGGATTTACTCTGAAAGTTAAAACTCACTCTTCAGCTGCTTTTATTGCCGAGAACTTTCTGAGTTTTCACCGCGGTGCTCCTTTTACGCCCAGAGTCCAGACGCCGAGAGTCATCATCTGATGCAGCGGTGCGTCACCCTCTGTGTAGCCCTGGACTTTAATTTGAGTTCAGCCCGAGGTCATCGTGTCTGGTCCTCCGTGTCGTGATTAGAGCTACAAACCGAGGTCAAGTGGCCTTGATCCGTCTCCAGCACACTCTGAAGGATGGTCAATGCTGATGAGATAACCGCCACTGTAACAGCAGCCATGTACTCCATGCTAATTAAAACCGTTTGTCTTACAGATGCAGTTTTAAAAAGAGATTTTACTGTTATGTTATATTTCATTTCAACTCCCGTCAACAGCTCCTACAAATACAGACACTGGTTATACGGGAAGAAGTTTCCTATATTATACAAAACACAAATCCATTGAAGTTTGGAAATTGTGATAAACGTAAATAAAAACAGAACACAATGATTTGCAAATCTTTTTCAACCTATATTCAACTGAATACACTACAAAGACAAGATATTTAATGTTCAAACTCATAAACTTCATTTTTTTTTTCAAATAATAATTAACTTTAGAATTTCATGGCAGCAACACGTGACAAAGAAGTTGGGAAAGGTGGCAAAAAATACTGAGAAATTTGCGGAATGCTCATCAAACACCTATTTGGAACATCCCACAGGTGAGCAGGCTCATTGGGAACAGGTTGGTGCCATGATTGGGTATAAAAGCAGCTTCCCCAAAAATTCTTAGTCATCTCAGAATCTGGAGAAATCACAGCACATAAGCGGCACGGCCGGAAACCAACATTGAATGCCTGTGACCTTCGATCCCTCAGGCGGCACTGTATCAAAAACCGACATCAGTGTGTAAAGGATATCACCACATGGGCTCAGGAACACTTCAGAAAACCACTGTCAGTAAATACAGTTCGTCGCTACATCTGTAAGTACAAGTTAAAACTCTACTATGCAAAGCGAAAGCCATTTATCAACAACATCCAGAAACGCCGCCGGCTTCTCTGGGCCCGAGCTCATCTAAGATGGACTGATGCAAAGTGGAAAAGTGTTCTGTGGTCTGACGAGTCCACTTTTCTAGTTGTTTTTGGAAATAGTGGACGTCGTGTCCTCCGGGACAAAGAGGAAAAGAACCATCCGAACTGTTATCAACGCAAAGTTCAAAAGCCAGCATCTGTGATGGTATGGGGGTGCATTAGTGCCCAAGGCATGGGTAACTTACACATCTGTGAAGGCAACATTAATGCTGAAAGGTACATACAGGTTTTGGAGCAACATATGCTGCCATCCAAGCAACGTCTTTTTCATGGACACCCCTGCTTATTTCAGCAAGACAATGCCAAGCCACATTCTGCACGTGTTACAACAGCGTGGCTTCGTAGTAAAAGAGTGCGGGTACTCGACTCGATTATGACGCGTAGAAATACGACAACGGAGACCCCGGACTGTTGAACAACTGAAGCTGTACATCAAGCAAGAATGGGAAAGAATTTCACCTTCAAAGTTTCAACAATTAGTCTCCTCAGTTCACAAATGTTTATTGAGTGTTGTTAAAAGGAAAGGTGATGAAACACAGTGGTAAACATGCCCCTGTCCAACTACTTTGGCACGTGTTGCAGCCATGAAATTCGGAGTTAATTATTATTTGCAAAAAAGAAATAAAGTTTATGAGTTTGAACATTAAATATCTTGTCTTTGTAGTGTATTCACTTGAATATAGGTTGAAAAGGATTTGCAAATCGTTCTATTCTGTTTTTATTTAGGTTTATCAAAATTTCCCAACTTTAGTGAAATTGGGTTTTGTACTCCCTAACAAAGTTCTCACCATCTTTTTTCCCACTTTTACAAATCAGAAAAAGCTTTAGATCAGCTGGAGTCAAGGCTCTGAATAATAGATCTGTATTTCCGGAGTAAGTCTGAATTTTCCCTTTTGTCATGTCTCTCTCAGGGCTTTTGGGAGAACATCTATCAGACAGTGAGGCGGAGTGCTGCGACGTCCGATGGGACTCCAAAATGGACAACCCTTCAGGCGAGACACTAAAAAGGACTGCATCTTCCTGCCAGCCCGAGGGGGCCTCAGTCACCTCAGCTGCCACCCCAAGACTGTGCAGCGGGCGACTGAAGATCTGCCTGCTGGCCCTTGTCCTCCTACACACTGTCATCATCATTTCAGCCTCCCATAATTCCACATTGGTGGGCGTGGCTGCCATTTTCTCGCCTGAGGAGAGCGCTTCTAATGAGGAGTGAACCTTGGGGTTGAATCTGGTGCTTGCGAAGAGTGATGTCACTCTGGAGGATTATGGCTTTTACAATGTCAAGGCTGCCAGGGACACATCTGGCGAGACATGCAGGAAATGCCTCTACAATCTGACGCCGATGAACCAACAACCACAAGTAGTGGGAGGGTTTTAACTGGAGCTAAGGGTGCTGGGATTGGACATCGACCAAACTGAGATGTTTGAGAACCACCCCCCAAAAGAACTGACCTCTTGCCACTTGAAACCTGCTCATTGTTTCTATTCAATCCAAATGTTTTTCCAGCATATTGTTCCTCCTCTCCTCCTCCTCCTTCCCTCCCTCCTTTCCTTCCCTTCCTGACGTTTTTCAGTGTGTGTGTGGATGGCAGAGGAAAAAAAAATGGACATTGATGAAGTGTGCGCTCTCACTCATCATTACCTTTAGATTTTTGCTGCATTTATTTCAGGTGCCAGAATGTTTTGACATATCAACTGTGTTCCACTTCCTCCTCTTCATCCCCTTCGAGGCATCTTCTTTCTACCTTGTATGTGTTGCTTGAGGGCCTGCCAGGACCAGCTGATCCATCATCATTCATGTGGGTCTTGTTTCTCTGAAAATGTATGTGATTCTCCAATATTCTAATGTTATGCTTGTATTTTGTCCCAATAGAACTTATTTTTACCCCTTTTGACGGTACATGCCTACACATTTTAGGACCTTAAGTGCTCTGAGACCGGCTCGCTTTCGCTGCTAACTTGTCGGGCCATTGAGCAAGTTAGGAGTGGCGAACGTAGTGAGGGTTCAGCTAACGACGACGACGACGACGAGGCGTTATGGGAGTCGATGCTGAGCTTAGTTGCCATGTGGAGCGCCTGGATAGGGAGTGGTGTTCTCTGGTTTCAAAAAATGTTCAGTTTACCTCATATGGTAGTGTTGGTGTTGCAAACAGGCGGCCTGTTGGCTCGTCTTAACGCCACAGTGTGAAAACATAGAGTAGGATAGTCAAAGTGAGACTGCAGGGACAACCCAGGGACACTAGAGAACAGTTGTATGATGCCAAAACTCCAGGGACCTCATTTATCAACCATGTGTGTGTATGCTCGTTTCCAATTCGATCACATCGTCTGAGAATATTGATGACCATTTAGTCTTATTTAAAGTTAAAATAGCATATTATGAAAGCATTAGCCATTATCAGGGGCGTATCCAAATAAATGACCAGGGGTGGCATGGGCCCCCCTCGAATTACAGTTGGCCGCTTTTTGACGGGCCACCCCAAATTCTAAAAATGAGCCAGATGTTAAAACAAGCTGTTTGAGTTGTGCTGCAACAGGATGCCAGTAGAATTTACTCCGATAAGCTGATAAGAACATGTCAAATTTATTTTATATACTTTGTTATGTTACTTTCAAAATCTTGAAAAATTATACAAAAGGAATTAAACATTTGCATACCACTTAAAGGGATGGTTGACGATCTGAGAAGCAGTTGAAAAAAAACTGAGCACCCCCTCTGGCAGAGCAAGAAGTCGGCTGGCAGAAGATCCTACGCTAGCTTCAAATCGCATTCACCATGTTGCACTGCTAGAGACTAGCGGCAGTAAACGCCAACTCTGCTTGCGAGCACCATCTGCAGCTGCCTGGACAGCTACTGTGTTGACATTACAGAGATTAATAAGAGTTATTCATGTAACATGTGCCACGATAAAAGGCCAAAATTACCTGTTCAGCAAAAACACTCGAAGGATGACCCGATGTTTATTCGAGTAAGATCCCTCGCTTGGTCGCATTTCCTCTTCGTCTCTGTAGGCTTGCGTTTTCTTTGCACTTTTGGTGGTGGGGTGAGCAGAAGTGTATTTTTTGCGTTCTTTTCTATCACAGCTCCTGTAGCTAGGCTGCTACGCTACTTTTAGCTGCTCAGAGCCACGAGGAATAACCAATCAGAGCCCAGCATTTCTAGCCAATCAGAGGCGAAGGGGGGCGGGACCTTCCCCCACCATCCGGGACAGATGGCTCCCATTGGTCAATGTTTTTGCAGCTCTGTAGTCCATAATTTTTTCTCGTCACTTTGTGGCGATCGCACTAAAGGACCATGATCGCCATATAAACGAGGTTCATAATAATTACCAATCTCTCCAATCGTCAACCATGCCTTTAATGACGGGCAACCCCAGATACTAAAAATGAGCCAGATGTTAAAACCAGCTGTTTAAGTTGTGCTGTAATAGGATGCTAGTAGAAAAATGATTTGGTGCCAATTAAACATTTAAAATTAGTTGCATAACACTTATATGTTATCAGCTGGAGTCGCTAATTTTGATGCTAACCTGCACAACTGCTACATGCTAGTGCCCCAGTTTGGCCACCCCAGTCTCGAATAGTAAGAAGTAAGAAGTTGAACGCAAAAATTAGAGCGAAGACTTTCAGAAATGACGTCACTCCTCTCTACTTTTAATCTTGAAAATATCAGTAACCAGATTCACGTCTATATTTCTCACCTTTTCCCCACTTTTCAGCTTGTGCTTTCCAATTAATTCACTTCTAGACGACTTTCAAAAGACGCACGTGTCCTTAACTGTGTTCATGTGCAGAAGCAAATGGGTTGCTTAAATTCCCACTGATAACTTGTCCTACACCCGGTTTGTTAAATGAGGTCCCAGATCTTCGAGTGCCTCTCTGCTGCGTACGCCCAGTGAGGCAGATACTGGCAATGGAGCAATATAGACAAACAGCTAGCGTTAGAATCCTACTTTGTGGCATCTTTACTCCTGTCAGCTGGCTTTTCTGCTTTGTGAAATTGGAGAAAGTGACCAGCAGACCAATCAATCAATCAATCAATCTGTCGACTCTTAAGATGGGCTGATCTACTGCTATCTTTCACAGACTAGCAAAGGGCTGTGTTAGCGTCAGCATGCGAGGAGTATGAGGAGTTTTTTAAGGGCTGATTCATCCTTTTTTATTTTCTTTCTTGAGTTTTTTTTTCCTCTTTTTTTGCATGACTGCTGCCAGAACAGTGCACCTTGAGACGAGGAACAGTCACACAGAGATTACAAAGACTTAAAGCGCCCCCCTTTAGAAGCTGAAAAAGTGTTAAAATTGGATTCACCGACCAAAAATTCAGTCGTAGACAGATTAGAGTTTCAAATTTTTCAAAGTATCAGTGCACCCCTTTTCCCCTTTCCCTGTCAAATCTTGACCCTAACTCTCTCACGACTAAAAAGCATCAGTTTGCTTATCACACACTCATCATAGGAGTCGGATGTCGCACTTGCCCCCCAAACTCCCCGCCCAGTTAACGCTCCTTTTTGCTCGATATTCTCGTGGCGTGTTGTTTCGTTACTTTGTTTTCCTTGGCAAACTGTGATGAAGAGAACTACATTCCCTTGAAGACAGCAGCGGATGTAACAGGCTCACACTTTGTGCTCTGTCCCCTTCGATCTCTAGCTGTTCATGATCTGAGTCCTGTGGATCTATGCAGATGAACCCGACCACAAACCAACTTCCGCCCTCCCAGACCTCTGTCACCAACATCGCCACCCCCTTGTCCTTTCTGTTGTAAATATGTCCTAAGGATGTGGATTTTCCAAAAAGGCCGCCTGCCCCGCCGACCCCTCCCTTATCTTCCCGTGCCCACCCCCCACTGTTGGAATCTCACTGTGTTTTCTGTTCGCCTCCTTGGTTTTCGTCAGTTTTTTGAGATTTTTGCCGCATTTTTCTGTTGTCTAAAGCAGTGGTGTGAGTTGACGAGTAGGACTAAGTTGGATGTTAAAAAGATGGGATGAAGAGGTCTTGAGAAAAATATACAAAAAAAATGAAGCTTGAATTGAGAAAGGGTTTCAAATATAGAGAAAAAAATTATGATAAAGTTGTCATATTGTCATACTAGAGATGCTTTAGTTTGCTAATTTACTTTCTTTTTTTCTACAAAAGACTTGGATGAAATTATTTATAAAATGCGTCCCACGAGTCATGATCTTTTTTGGACGTAAAACAAATACATTTATTAACATTTTGTTCAAAAGAAAATAAATATAAATTATGTTAAACATTACTGGTGTTTGTGCTTTTTTTCATGAGTGCTCTGGTGTCCAAAATCCATGTGTAAGAAACCTCAAATTCATCCATGTCATATATTTTAAATTAACATGAAGAAACAGACACATTAATTATTCCATGCTACATCTTGTTGGATGAATTATTCATATTTTTATATGTAATTTTCTGTTAATTCAACAGTTTGGCACATCAAACTCAAATCACGTATTTAGATAAACCATTAGCATGCAAGCTCCACCAAATTAAAGCTCCTGTCAGGAGTTTTTAAACACTAATGAAATTAACTGAGATTCACACTGGAGCCAAAAGCAAACAAAGCTATCAGCTACATGATTGATGGGTTTTATTTAGTAATATTTACAGCATCTAAACTTACCCAACTGGTTCTTACACACTGGGAACAACGCAAATATACGACGCGATATTACAAAATATTCAGAGGCAAATTTTGATGCGCCTGACTATACACATTAAGCGCGATGCGATTTTGCGACTTTCTGGGGGGAAAAAAAGACTGACACAACAGCAGACTGACTGTTTTTCAGTTCTGATTAGACACTAGTGTTGAGATGTCTGTCTGTCATGATAGCATGTACTGAGTCAGGGCCAGTACCAGATAAGAACATTAAACTATAATCCATAAACGTAAGGTAACAACCGAGACCTAATGGTGCTGTGACAGCAACGCGATTGAGTTTGAGACAGTGAAAATACATATGGTATGTTGTATCTGAACAGGTTAGCTTATGAGCTAAAGTTACTTAGCACAGATGAAAGTTAAAACAAAGACGTTTAGCAAACTGTTAAAGCACACAAACCATCATCATATGAGAAATCCGACTCTATGACTCTCCACAAGTTGTCCTTTAGATCGTCATCTTTGTAATATTTGTGTCTTTAATCAAAAAGCACTCTGTTCTCTGACACGTAAACAATCAGCCGGTCAGCCATGTT